GACCGTGGACTTAAATTTATTCCCACACCAAAGATAGCTAACTTGAATTATCTCCGACCATCCATTGAACGATTTCAACGAAATCTTAGCTGCACATATTTTTTTCGAAACCATCCCCCACGTGGTGCTAGAACAATGTTTATTCCTAAATCCACGCGGACACCCCCTCAGGCCGCCATCCATCCTGAAATATTGAAAGCATTTGCGAGTATGAATAGCCAAACAGTGAACCTTTCCATAACACACGAAAAGCCTAATCTCACACGAGTGGAACGTGAAGCGTTAAACTTACTTAAGAAAGATGATAGCATTGTTATTAAAAAGAGTGACAAAGGTTCATGTTGTGTCATTTTGAATAGGGAGGATTACGTTTTAGAAGCAGAGAATCAACTGAATAATCCTAAACATTATGCCATTTTACCGAAACCAATTTTCAAAGAAACTGCTAACATGATTAACAGTATTCTTGCCGATTTAGTCAAAACTAGTTATCTCAAACAGAAACAATATGACTATCTGTCTGCCAAACCTGATTGTCGCGAGAGACATTTGTACACTTTGCCTAAAATCCATAAGAATCCAACCAAGGAGTGGTTTATCTCGAATAAAATCCCTAAAGGCCGCCCGATTATATCTGACTGTGGTAGTGAGTCATATGCAGTGTCAGAATACATTGATCATTTCTTACTACCTATAGCATGTCAACATCGCGCCTACCTTAAAGACACAACCGATTTTGTCAATAAAATAAAAAATCTTCGAGTTCCCTCTAATGCTATTTTAATTTCTATCGACGTTTCTTCTATGTATACCAATATCGATAACACTACTGGTCTAACGGCAGTTCGTAAAGCTTTTAATAGAAACCCAGATCCAAACAGACCCGACGATGCAATTCTACAGCTTTTAGAGATTCGTATTAGTCGAAACGATTTCACATTTAATGGTAAAACATATTTACAAACTTGAGGGACAGCAATGGGCAAACGATTCGCCCCTTCGTACGCAAACCTTTTCATGGCAGAGTGGGAACGTGAGGTGTTGCCCCTCTGTCCATTTGACCCACTTTTTTACGGACGCTTTTTGGATGACATTTTTATGGTTTGGACTTATTCTATCGAACAGTTTTGGGAATTGTTTGAAATTCTCAACAACCACCATCCTTCTATCAAACTAACCGCAAACGTGAGTGACAAAAGCATAGACTTTCTCGATACCACAGTCTTTAAGGGAGATTCCATAGCAGAAACAAATACACTGGATATTAAAGTGTATTTCAAAGAAACTGATACTCATCAACTCTTGCACAAGAGCTCCTTTCACCCAAAACATACCTTTTCAGGTATAATTAAGTCACAAGTTTTACGATTTCATCGAATTTGTACAAGATCTTCTGATTTCAACCAAGCCTGTACGATTGTTTTCTCAAAACTGAAAGAGCGTGGGTACTCTAAACGATTTTTACGAAACATAAAAAATTCCACCTTAGCACAGATAGCAGCTAAAACCAAACAGACTTTATGCCGAAGTACCTCCAGGTTTAAGAAGTGCTCCATGTTTGTCCAGTAGATGCAAAACATGTCCCTTTATATCAGAAACTCATTATTTTGTAAGCAACTCTACGAATAAAAGGTACCCGATCCAGGAACATCTAACATGTGAACATTCGAATGTAATATATTTAATTTCATGCAAGAAATGCCCCAAACAATATGTAGGAGAAACTAAGAATAATTTACGAACTTGCTTTAATGCTCATAGGTCAGACATCAAATTAAAGAAAGACAAGCCTGTTTCTAATCATTTCAACCTCGACGACCATTCAATAGACTATCTCGTCCTAATCCCAATTGAGCGTATAGAAATTGACTTGCCCGAAGATGAAACTACCAAATTCCGTCAATCTAGGGAAGCCCATTGGATTGAGACATTGAATACAGCAAGACCTATAGGACTAAATATTCATCATAATGTAGGCATAGCACCCTTTGTTGTCCCGTTTAATACAACCAGCAATCGAGCAAGCAAGATAGTTCATGCCCACTATAAAAGCCTTCAAGAGAAATTCCCCCATGTCTATAAGCAGAAAATGATAGTTGCATATTCAAAAAATAAGAACTTAAATGATAATATTGTTCATAGTAAACTAAAAACAATCAGTACATAACAGATACTATACTTCTCGCCCACTGGGCGAGTTATTTTTTCTAATTTCAAATCAGAATAAGAACAGAAGAAAACCCAATATCAAGACCCGTAATCCTAATTTCTAAATAAAGTGTCTGCTCCACCCTAGGCCTGTACATTTGGGAGAATCAAACCCTCCCTTCCCCGAAATCTATTGAATTGAAAAATATTTAGTGTGAGTTTTTGCCCTTGTGCTTGAAAACGCTTTCAAATTTAGCTCTTAAACACTTAAAAGCATGATTCTTGCTGTATTTTGACACAACTTGGTTTAATTATTCAGTCCCGCGCTATGAATATTTGCCTTCTAGAGTTTTCACGAGCTAAAAATTGAACTCGCTTTCAAGAACAAGGGCAAGAACTCATACTCAATATTACTCAGTATCGTCCTAAAGAGTTTAAAAGAAGTGTATGACAGAAGGTTGAATATTTCATACTGGTGATAGTTAGTTACTGTACTGCCTAATATTTTTATTCAAAACCAAAGCTGCCAGTGGGCGTATATTACCTTGCCTGGCAAGCTATCTTTAACTTCCAGAAAGCGCAGTTCTCGATTACTGATCGTTCGTGTCAACCTCTCAAACTACTTGTCTGCCATTACAATTGTGGAACGTATATTGCTGTCATCCATGTCCGTTGGTCTATCCACAATTGGCAATTGCTCGTAAACACTCTACAGGGCACAATTCTTCACTGATTTGGACCTAACTTATTGAAATCATTTATTATCTACGAAAGATGAACCCCATAGAAAATCTAAATATGAACTATTGCCCTTGCTCTTCAAAACACGTTTGACATTTAGCTGTAAACACTCTACAAGGCACAATTCTTCACGGATTTTGAAAAAACCTGCTGAAATCATTTATTATCACCCACGGTGCAACCCTACCGAAAATAAAAAAAATCTTAAAATATTTAGTATCTGTTATAGCCCTTTTCTTCAAAACCCGTTCCATTTTTAGTTTGAAAAATTGAAAATCCAAAAATATTAATATTTGAGTTATAGCCCTCGTTCTTCATAACGCATTTGAATTTAAGGTCTTAAACACTTAAGGTACAATTCTTGACGGATTCTGATGAAATAAAAATCTTTGAAGAAACACAATTCTGTTAATTAAAACAATGCTATGGTAAATAGACTTTTTTTCTTCTAAATGTTTTCTGTCCAACAAAGCTTCCAGTAGGCGTATATTACTTTGCCTGGCAAGCTATCTTACTCATTTCACCCAATTTCTCTTTTCAGATCTCCAATCCTGGTGCCCTATGCCCTCCAATTATCCCACCAGAGATCGAATACGAAGATGAGGTCGAGATCACTATGATTGATCAAAGTTTAGATATAGAAAATGCCAATGACTTAGATTTTGTTCCTGACACTGAAAGTGAGTCGGACAGTGAATATGATCAAGACCCACCAGATGAGCAACCACTTTCCACTGATTTTGAGGACATTGAATCTTTCAGTGTACCAGAAAATGCTGCAGATGAAAGAAAATTCCTTGTGTTTGAATCCTGTGTTGTAAATTTGTTTAGGAAATGCCAGAAAACAGGATGTGCGGCAGAGGTTTTAGAGTTTAAAAGGACGGTGGTAGGGTCTAGACTGATAGTGAGCACATAATGTACTGCTGGTTGCAAATACACTTGGTCATCATAACCTACTTTAGATAGAATGAGAGTTGGTAACCTGCTTTTGTCTGCAGCCACCTTGTTTTCAGGTAAAACATATGCCAGACTTCAAGATATTTCTGCATATCTGAAATTACCAATCCTTTGTCAGAGCCAGTTCTATGCCCTGCAGAAGCGTTATCTTTTCCCAGTAATAAATGAAACATGGATGTCGTGTCAGTTAGGTGTTGTGATTGGGTTGAGCAGGGAGGACAAGGTTGTTCTATCTGGTGATGGCCGTCGTGACAGTCCGGGCCACTGTGCAAAGTATGGGACGTACACTCTCATGGATGTGGATTCAGGATATATAGTTGATTTTGCTGTTCTCAACAAGGCTGATCCCCGGGTGAAAAATTCCAATGCCATGGAACCCATGGGGCTAATACAGTGTTTGTCTAATATGAAGAAATGGAATATTGACGTCAACATCCTCACCACAGACAGACACAAAACCATTAGAAAAATTATTCGGGTTGACTACCCTGAGATTACACACCAATTTGACTTATGTATTGTAAAAAAAATTGTAACGGCATGTGGCAAGAAAACAGCCCTTGCCCCTCTCCTTGATTGGTTACAGTTCATAAGTAACCACTTCTGGTGGGTCATGTCAAGGCAATGTAGATGCTCTTAAAGAGAATTGGGAATCAATCCTTTATCACACTGCCAACATCCACGTTTGGAAGGATAAACAACTATTCCACGCCTGTGAGCACCTGTAACAAAATACACTTCTACAGGATCAGTCCATGGTCCGCCATGGGCTATTAGCCTGGTATTTTGTTATTGTCCTTTATTGTTTTAGTATGGTCATAAAAATGATCGAAATATATAATACATCATAATTATATTGACGGACATTGAAAAGATAAAAGGTTTAATTTTTAAGTATCTCCTTAAATTATTTCGGGGGATGTCACACCTATCAATATGAGGTATGCAGCAAATGATATAAATATACCTTAACAAATTAGAAGGATTAGTATTCACTTGGAAACTGTGGAACTCAGCCAGAACTAGACATTCGATACTCTCCTAGTTCTTAAAAGATCTTGATATAATTCATTTGCTACTACCTCTACCTCGACTGTTTTGATGCTGATACTTATACTGTAAAAATACACAACGTGAAGAACTTTATTAATATATTTAAAAACCACTAGACGTTTTGATTTAACAACACGGAGAAAAAGGCCTGTACGTAACAAGAGCTTTGTTACATACCCAGCTTTTATGGTGCCTGGTTCCCAGGATTCTGAACGGGTTACAAGTTAAAGAAGAGGAAACGTTCAAGAGGAAACGTATAGCACAACGAATAGGAGGATTCTCTAAAACAGTAAGTTCCTTTCTGTTCATTTTTTTGAGTAATCGAAACAATGGAAGGTGAAAACGAGACTGCATTCTTTCAGACTTTGTCAAATCAAATTAGTCGATTGACTAATTCCATTTCCACCAACGGTGTCGCTACAATCATCGAACCCTTCGATGGCGACCCTAAGAAATTCAGAGAATGGACCCGCTCTATTGAAAAGTACTCAATATTGGCTTCAATTACGGGCGACCGAATGAAACTAATTGCATACCAGACGAGTAAGGGTGTCGTTTCAAATTTCATAAGGCGTTACCTAGACGCTAATGGAGAGGCAACGTGGGAGGAGCTTAAGAATGAATTGTCGGCACGCTTCGCTGAGGTGACAGACCCACAATATGCGTTAGCACTTCTTCGAAAATGTAAGCAAAACACGGGTGAAAATGTACAATGTTTTGGGGAAAGACTATTGGTTTTGGCTAGCGAGGCATACTCAGTGTCAAGTCTGGAAGTCGAAAGGCAACTTGTAGGTTTCTTTATTGACGGGTTAAAAGAAAATTACCTTAAAATGAAAATAATACGGGAAAACCCTACCACATTACAAGATGTGGTAAACTTGGGCACAGAAAGGCCGATTGTAAAGTTCGGCTTTCCTCGGAAAACTAATACCCTCTCCTCGAAATTCGGCTGTCGGGGAGAGATCATTTAGGACAAAGAAAACAAAATATTTTAGAAAAACTTCAATTAAAAATAAAAAAGATATTTTTATAAATTTGGCAGGAAATCCAAGTACTTGTATTATGAGATTGGAGAAACAAAATTATAGATCTTTAATCGATACCGGAGCAGAGGTATCATTAATGCACCGTCGCATATATAATAGTCTTAAGTATAAGCCGAAACTTAGAAAGGAAAATGTCACTCTCCGATCGGTTAGTGGACAAGCATTGACAATTAGTGGCAGTGCTGTTTTTGAATTTAAAATTGGTAACAAAGATATAAAACATAAATTCTTCGTAGTAACTTCGATGAATAGGAATTTGATTTTGGGTAGAGATTTTCTATCCGAGAAAAATGTACGCATTTATTTTGATTTGAAATGTCTGAGGATATATGGAACGTATGTTCCCCATCAGCAGGATATTCATATTTCGTCGCTCGTAAGATTGACTGAAAGTGTTGTACTTAATCCTCAAAGTAGTTGTTTAGGCATGGCGAGAATTAAGAACCATAGCCTGACTGCACCTATGCTGCAGGTACAAGGTATGGATTCTGGATACCTTAGCAAACAACCAGGTGTAATGGTTGCTAATGCATTAATTGCGGGAATCCACGTGGAACAAAATAATGGACGTATGCCCATTTCATTGGTTAACAATACTAACCAAACTATAAGGTTAAACAAGGGTTGTTTAGTAGGAAAGGTGGAGCCTGTTGAACATGATGAGGTACATGATTTAACTCCACCCACTAAAAATATCTCAGAGGTTTCTATTGGCAATTATAATGTGTCAAAAGTGTATACTAACAATGACGACTGTTTTAAAGATATAGATGTCCCAGACATACATAGGTCAAAGGTTATAGATATATTGACTAATTATAGAGACATATTTGCTACAAATGATATGGAATTAGGACAAACGGACACTGTTAAGATGAAAATTGACATAGGTGATCACTCACCTATAAAACTACGACCTTACCGAACACCACTAAACAAAAGGCAGATTGTTGACAAAGCTATTGATGACATGCTAGGTGCAGATATAATTGCACCTTTTACGAGTCCCTTTAGTTTTCCAATCGTAGTTGTGGATAAAAAAGATGGTTCCAAGAGATTTTGTGTGGACTATCGTGCATTCAATAAAATCACCAAAATCAACTCATATCCACTTCCTTTGATTGATGATTTATTGGCACAATTGAATGCAACTTCCTACTATAGCCTAATTGATCTCCGTGCAGGTTACTGGCAGGTGCAGATGCATGCAGATGACAAGGAGAAAACTGCATTTGTATGTCATAGAGGTCTGTTTCATTTCAATGTGATGCCGTTCGGTTTAGTAAATGCACCAGGTGTTTTTATGCAATTGGTTGATCAAGTCTTACAAGGTTTAAGCGAATTTGCTGTAGCATATCTTGATGACATTTTGATATTTTCTAGAACAAAAGAAGAACATCTAAAACATTTGCAACAAGTATTTGATAGGTTAAGACAACACAATTTAAAGTTAAAAGCCAGTAAATGTTCTTTTATGACAAGGGAAACTATGTACTTAGGTTTCACCATATCAACACAGGGTGTATCAGCTGATCCGGATAAGGTTAGAGCATTAAAGGCGATGACTCCGCCTACAACTGTCACTGAAACTCGTTCATTCATTGGTGGAATGAGTTACTATAGAAGACTCATACCTAATTTTAGTAAAATTGCTGAGCCTCTTATTAATTTGACGAAGAAATTTGCAAGGTTTAACTGGACACAGGAGTGTCAACGAGCGTTTGATTTCTTAAAAGAAAGTCTAACGACAATACCATTTTTAGGCTACCCAAATTCTAATTTACCATATGTACTTTACACTGATGCAAGCGATACTTGCATCGGTGCATGTTCAGCACAAGTTATTGAAGGTGTCGAAACACCTATTTACTTTTTGAGTCATAGATTGAATTCTACACAAGTCAAATATTCGACAGTACTAAAAGAATGTTTTGCAATTCATTACAGTTTGCAAAAACTCGACTATTATTTGCATAATGCAGAATTCATAATTAGGACAGACCATCAACCATTAAAATATTTTTTGAGTCACCCATTCAGAATAAGCAAATTCAATGATGGGCATTAGGAATTTCAGGCTATAATTGTAAGATAGAATATATACCGGGTAAGAAAAATTCAATGGCTGATCTTTTATCGCGAGTTCCAAAAGCAACATTTGACAATTTAAATGAAGATGATGACGAAATTGAGCCCCGTATAAATAATAACTCACTTGAGATAAACGCTATAAATTCAAACCAGATTGAGACTAGTAAATATGCTGACTGTGAACTTAATAACCATGACGATACATCTGACAATGAGGACTTTCAGTTAGATTTAGATATGATAGCCGAACAAATGAAGGATGATCAATTACAAAAGCTCAAAACTGATTTACAAAGGGGGGCAGTGAAATCCACAATAAATAATAGATATTTACTGGTAGACGATATTGTATATTATATTTCCGATCCGGATGGTGAACCTAATTTACGACTTTACATTCCGACACACTTGACAGAAAAGGTCATCAAACAATATCATGACGATAATGGTCATAGTGGCGTAGATAGATGTTACGCACTAGTAAGGACAAAATATTACTGGCCAGGTCTTTATAAACAACTCTATAAATATATAGGACAATGTATTTTATGTCAAGCAAGGTCAACTGTTAAGAACAAACCCGATTTAGTTGAGACAGGAATACCTCCTTATCCTATGGCAAAGGTATCTTTTGATTTATCTGGTCCATATCCGACAAGTTTGTCTGGAAACAAATATATTGCCAGTTTTGTCTGCATATACTCTGGCTGGATAGAGGCATGGAAATGTTGCTCATTTGTTAATTGATGAATTCTTTCCCAGATTTGGTTGTCCTTTAGCTATGGTTACTGATAATGGTACCGAGAATGAGAATAGGGTTATGAAAGAAACTCTCCAAAGTTTAAACATTAAACATATTCTTACTTCTTATTATAGACCACAAAGTAACAGTGTTGTCGAGCGAAGTCATCGAACGTTACAACAATCTCCATTTACCATGTTGTATTCTAGAGATCCGGTGTTACCGCTTGATAATATTCTTAAGCCGAGACGTAAGTTCATGGGTGAAGGTGATTTCCATCAGGTGGCATTGGAGAATCAACACCGGTCATTCCTCCAAGTACATAAATACATGAAAAAAGCTAAGCAACGACAAGCCAAATACGCTAACAAAAATACTAAAAATATTGATTTTAAGACAGGTGACCCAGTATACTATAAGAATTTCTTACTAAAAATAAACTAGAAGACAGATGGTCACCATACCATCGAATAGTTGAACAAACCTCACCAGTCTCATTCAAAATTAGGAATCAACTCACTAACAGAGTGATAAAGGCTCATGCTGAGCACTTAAGATTAGCTAATATTGATGAATGGGACATACCTAAAGACACAAATAAATTAAGAAAAGCCCAATATGTTGAACCTCCTTCAGAATCTGAAGGTTCCGATTCTGAGTATTCAGAAGATGACGAATTGCCTCTTAGTGAACTAATTAAGAAATACCGTAGGGTACGAGAAAACTCGTCGAGTGAAGATGACATACCACTCATGGAAATGGCGCAACGAATTAGAGTAGAAAATGACAGCGCCAATGATGATGATGTTGGCAATCCGGATGATGCCTCATCAAATGATATGGTGGTTGCCTAGATGACTAAGTGTTGATTGGGTTTGATGGGAAAGGGCCCTTCTCAGATTACCGTTACAATCAACTACTTTTAATCGACCGCATTATACCACTTAAAAATATTCTTAATATTTTTCATTAAGAACACATAAACGAGACTATCGTGTGTTGCAAATGAACAGATCAATGATGACCTTCTACGCGTTATTTCGCCGGTCATTATTTTGATCCATAGAAGTCATAGATTTCATAGATTTTGTTTTTGTTTTGTTCTAAATAGGATTTTGTTTACAAATTTAGAATAGATTTGGATTAATTGCATTATGGTTTACGGTGTATATATATATATATATATAATTATGATATTGATCCACTATTTTTCAAATGATGTCGTGTCACATACTGGTTTTATTGGTTTTGATGGGTGGGTTTGCTGAGTTGCACAAGATAACACAGAATGTGTTATTCAGACCCCTCCCCACCAGTCGTTCTAAGTGGACTTTAACACTTGTGCACGACATCAATCCCTTTTTACGGTTCACCAGTGATCTAGCTATTGACGTAGGACGGACATTCCTCGCCGTGGATGAAATCATGTCAAATTATTCAATAAAAAATAATAGTCAAGAATATGTAAGCACTTTCAATACTCTTAAGAAGGAAGTAACTACTGTGAGAGATGAAATAGAGGATCTCCTAGATGGCGTAAATGATTTTCAGACATTATCAACGAAACATGCAAGGTCAAAAAGAGCTTTGATTCCATTCGTTGGAAAAGCACTAAGTCGGTTATTTGGCACTGTAAGTACAGAAGATTTAGACGTTATAAGAAAAAATATCGAAATTTTAGCTGCAAATCAGCATGCAATTACACAGGTTGTATCTGAAAGTTTATCTTTGTTAAATGTCTCTCGACTCCAAATTTCAGAAAATAGGCAACAAGTGAATATATTATCAAAAAGTTTACATAAGTTAGATTTAAAAATAGAAAGTGTTGTTAAGCAATTCCGAAAGAAATTAATCAGTCTTGAAGGATTTATCCATCTATTTTTAAGAATGAAGATGGTATTGGATGATATTAAAAATATGTTCCTTCGAGCGGAACTATATGCCGAGGACGTTAAAATACAACTAAATTTGTTATTATTAGGTCATTTGTCACCGAGCATAATTAAACCCGGCAGTTTACGAAAACTTTTGATTGAGATTCAACGCCAATTACCTCCAAGTGTTATGCTTCCAAAAGACCCTCGTAAAAATCTTTGGCATTATTGTAGAATTTTGAACTGTATTACTTTTATTGAAGATAACAAAATTATTGTAGTGGTCAATATCCCTCTTTTGGATAGTGAGGGTTCTTTTGAAATTTTCAAAATTCATAATTTTCCCATGCCGATGACAAATAAAAAGATTTTATCTAAATCCAAAGCTACCTTCAAAATGGTTGCCTCTTACAGACTTGAAGCCGAAGTTATTGCCATTAATAATGATAGAACAAAGTATGCAATTTTAGATAGGGATGAAACAAAACGATGTTCTGACCCATTAATTGGATTTTGTCAAATACGTAGTCCGATCTACCCCATTAATTTATCGCAATTATGCATTGTAGCTTTATTCACAAATAATAAAGAGAAAATTTCACAATTATGTAAAGTTTATGTAAAACCTAATTGTATTTTACCGATGGCTAAATACATAACAAATGGACTTTGGATAGTGGTAACTCAAAGACCCATCATATTTTCGATCATTTGTCACCAAACGAGTTTTGTACATAAGTCTGTCACAGTGCGGCCACCAATTCAATCTATTCAGTTATCGCCTACGTGTAAAGCTCAGAATGATTATTTAGAACTACCAGCCCTTTACTCGAATGAGAGTACTTACTTTGATCCAACTTCTTTTGAAAAATTAACATCAGCATTTAATCAATCAATGACTGATCTTTGGCAACCTTTTGTAGATAAATGTCAAAATTATAAATTAACAAAATTGCCACCTAAATTAGAAAATATTGAGAATTTTCCTTTAGACGAACTGGCATATGAAATGAAAAATTTACAACGAATTAGAAATGAAAAATCAAAAACATGGTCTCTCTGGAAATTAGTTCTTATTGGTCTCGGAATTTTAATTACTATATTAATAATATATGTTTTGGCTCTAAAATATTGTAAGTCTGGAGGACTGCGGCGACGGTTTCAATCCTTCCTACGAAGTAGAGAAACTCATAAATGGGACAAGAGGGAGTCAGCTGATTTAGAGATGACTCCAAGAAAAATTGCTATCGTTACTCCACAACCAGCTGTTGCCACAGCACCTCTTTTACATAATGACCAGCAACAGGAACAACAACCACCTTTGTTGTATCCTCAGATACCAGAGCCAGCAAGTTATTTGGGTAGTGGACGAGGAAGAATGATGGCTGAGGTGCTACGATTGGCACGAAATCGACGTTCTCTACAAGATAGAACAAGATACCACTAATTAAAATTAATTTGAATCTGATATACATTCTTTTACAAGAGACTATTTGTAGGAGACTTCACAGATATATCGAACAGTTTAAACGTCAATGGTGAATTGGTAAATTGGTGGACATATAATTTTTATGCCAATGGTAGATTGATAATTGGTGGACATATAATTTTTATGCCAATGGTAGATTAGTATATTGGTGGACATATAATTTTTATGCCAATGGTAGATTGGTAATTGGTGGACATATAATTTTTATGCCAATGGTAGATTGATAATTGGTAGACATATAATTTTTATGCCAATGGTAGATTGATAATTGGTGGACATATAATTTTTATGCCAATGGTAGATTAGAAAATTGGTGGATATCTAATATGTGTAGTGACAATTTTTTCATAGAAGAACTTATGTTTATGTTGTGCCTTTTTAATTTTTTGATTATATTGATTTTGTGTTGGAGGATTGATAGGTGTGAAGACCGTTTAGATTTTGTGGATTAATAATAGAAAATTATTAAATTATTTCTGGGGATGTCACACCTATCAATATGGGGTATGCAGCAAATGATATAAATATACCTTAACAAATTAGAAGGATTAGTATTCACTTGGAAACTGTGGAACTCAGCCAGAACTAGACATTCGATACTCTCCTAGTTCTTAAAAGATCTTGATATAATTCATACTACCTCTACCTCGACTGTTTTGATGCTGATACTTATACTGTAAAAATACACAACGTGAAGAACTTTATTAATATATTTAAAAACCACTAGACGTTTTGATTTAACAACACGGAGAAAAAGGCCTGTACGTAACAAGAGCTTTGTTACAGAATTAACATAAATACTTTTGCCTTCAAGGAACAATTTTGGATTATTGACAGAGGATAATTATAGAAAACAATGATATAATATATCATTATATATATGGATATTGGATCGCAAAAAGGGGATATCGACAACACTTTGTCATATACCTATCTTTTCTGGTGCCGTGACCAGGATTCTGAACGGGCAAGAAGATCAAGGAACTAGGAAAAAGAACAGAAGAGGAAACGCACTCCTATCGGTAAGTTAATTTTGTTTCACTGTCCATTGAGCATAATCCGAGAACATGTCAACAGAAGAAGAAACCACATTCTTCCACACTTTATCTGACCAATTAAATAGACTTACAAATTCGATATCAACTAATGGGGTGGTAACAATAATAGACTCATTTGAGGGGGACCCCAAAGCATTTAGGGAATGGACGAGATCCATTGAAAAGTATGCGGTGTTAGCATCCATTCCAAACGATAGGATGAAATTGATCGCTTATCAAACGAGTAAAGGGGTGGTGTCTAATTTTATTAGGCGCTATCTCGATACCCATCCCGCAGCAGATTGGCCTACGCTAAAGGATGAACTCTCGGCACGCTTTGCAGAAGTAACTGATGCACAACATGCTTTCGCGTTACTCCGAAAAGTTAAACAAAATCATAATGAAAACGTACAATTTTTTGGTGAGCGACTTTTGGTATTAGCATCGGAAGCATATTCAGGAACATCGTCGTTAGAAATAGAAAGGCAACTAGTAGGGTTCTTTGTTGACGGATTGAAAGAAAATTATTTAAAATTGAAAATTCTACGGGAAAATCCCAAAACTTTGCAATTAGCGGTGACCTTAGCTATGAGTGAGCAAAATTTGAGAACACGGTTCGCATTAAGAACGGGAAGCAATTTCCCGCGCAACGAAGATAGTTCTAGCCGAGACGAACCCATGGAGGTTGACCATTTCAGACCCAGGAAATGCAGAATTTGCTATAGACATGGACATGAGGCAAAGGATTGCCGACGAAAACCTAACAATAGACAGGTTAACAGTGCGGACACATTTAGGGCATCCCGTCCTCCAATTAAATGTTGGAGGTGCGGTAAATTAGGCCATAAACAAGTCGATTGCAAAGTTCGACTAAATTCGGGAAACCATTAGCCTCTCCTCGTAAACCGGCTAACGAGGAGAGAAAGAAAGTAACTTCAACAAATAAACCTATTTTCAACAAAAATTGTAAGTCAAAACGAAATTCTTAAAATAAGAAAATTTTAGAAGTAAACTTGGCAGGTAATCCGAGTACATGTTTAGTAAAATTTGAAAAACAATATTATAGGGCATTAATTGATTCCGGTGAAGAAGTGTCTTTAATGCACCGGCGCGTTTACCAAAATTTAAAATATAAACCCAAACTCAAAAAAGAAAATGTAATTCTACGTTCCGTAAGCGGACAATCTTTAACTATTGATGGAAGTGCCGATTTCGAATTTAAAATAGGAAACAAAGAAATGAAGCATAAACTCTTTATTGTATCTTCTATGAATAGAAATTTGATACTCGGAAGAGACTTTCTAGCCGAGAAAAATGTGAGGATATATTTCGACCTCAAATGCCTAAGGATCTATGGAACGCTACACCATGACCTTCATATTTCATCCCTTGTACGGTTGACTGAAAATGTTGTTTTAGTGTAGCAAGGGCAAAATGTTTAAACCCGAATTCGCCCATGCTACAAATACAAGGAACCGATTCTGGTTTCATGAGCAAACAACCAGGAATAATGGTTGCAAATGCACTAGTTGCAACAGTAAATGTTGAACGAAACAATTGACGTATGCCCATTACGATAGTAAATAATACTAACAAAACTATGACCTTAAAGAGAGGTTGCTTAATAGGTCAAATAGACCCTGTCAATCATAACGACGTAAGTGAATTAGTCCCACCTTTAGATGTAAACCAGGTTAGTAATGAACAAACTAATGACTGTTTTAAAGATATAAAAATGCCAAACAACCATCGGTCACGCCTAATGAATATATTTACTAAATATAGAGATATATTCGCCTCGAGCGATACTGAACTTGGACAGACAGATACTGTCAAAATGAAGATTGATGTTGGTGACCATCCACCCATAAAATTAAGGCCATATAGGACACCGTTAAATAAAACAAAAATCGTTGACAAAGCGATTGATGATATGCTAGGTGCAGGGATAATCGCAAATTCGTCATCCCCGTATGCATTTCCTATTGTAGTCGTAGACAAGAAAGATGGAGGGGGGCGCTTTTGTGTTGATTACAGAGCACTGAATAAAATCACTAAAATCAACTCCTACCCTCTCCCATTAATCGATGATCTATTAGCACAATTAAATGCATCTTCAGTGTACAGCCTCATTGATTTACGAGCAGGTTACTGGCAAGTGCATGTCATAGAGGTTTATTTCATTTTAATGTCATGCCTTTTGGTTTAGTTAATGCACCCGGAGTATTCATGCAATTAGTTGGACGAGTATTAGAAGGCCTCAGTGATTTTGCGGTCGCTTATCTTGACGATATTTTAATATTTTCAAAAACACCAGAAGATCACTTTAAACATATAAAGTTATTTTTTGATAGATTAAGACAACATAACCTAAAGCTTAAGGCAAGTAAATGTTCATTCATGCAAGAAGAGACGAAATATTTAGGTTTTACTATTACTAAGAGTGGTATTTCGGCTGACCCAGATAAAGTGAGAGCGTTAAAAGTCATGACTCCTCCCACCACAGTTACCGAGACTCGTTCTTTCATTGGAGGGATGAGTTATTATAGAAGACTTATACCAAATTTCAATAAGATTGCAGAACCATTAATACATTTAACTAAGAAATTTGCTAGATTTAATTGGACAACGGAATGTCAACTTGCGTTTGACTTCTTAAAAAATAGTCTTACTACTATACCGTTTTTAGGTTATCCGAACTCTAATCTTCCGTACGTTTTATACACTGATGCAAGTGACACTTGCATAGGTGCATGTTTAGCACAAGTTATAGATGGAGTCGAAACTCCAATTTACTTTTTGAGTCATAAATCGAGTTCAACACAGGTAAAATATAGTACCGTGTTAAAAGAATGTTACGCTATACATTATAGCTTGCAAAAACTTGACTATTATTTGCATAATGCGGAATTTATTATTAGAACCGATCATCAACCATTAAAGTACTTGTTAGAATCGCCGTTTCAAAATAAACAAATTCAGCTTTGGGCCCTTGGTATACAAGGTTATAATTGGAAAATTGAATACATTCCTGGCAAAAGCAACTCGATAGCAGATCTACTATCACGAGTGCCAGTAGCAACTTTTGACAATTTAACAGATGACGACGAGGAGATAGAACCTCGATTAAACGACAATGCATTCGAAATAAATGTGATAAATTCTAATAAGGTTGACACAGGTAATTTCGCAGACTGTGATATGAATGACAATGAAAGTTTAAGTGACCCCGAAGATGACCCACTAAAATTAGACTTAGTCAGTGAACAAATAAAAGATGAATTACAAAATATTAAGACTGAATTAGAAAAAGGAAACCTAAAGCCTGCGGTCAATAATAAATATATAGTTGTTGATGACATATTATACTATATATCTGACCCAGATGGTGATCTTAATTTAAGACTCTATGTCCCCAAGCATTTGACGAGTAAAGTCATTAATCAGTATCATGATGAGAATGGACATAGTGGTGTTGACAGATGTTATGCTCTAATTCGTACTAAATACTATTGGAAGGGTTTATATAAACAACTATATAAGTATGTAGAAAACTGTGTCGCTTGTCAAGCAAGGTCAACGACTAAAAATAAACCAGACTTAGTTGAAACAGGTATACCACCATATCCAATGGCTAAGATCTCATTGGATCTATCGGGACCTTACCCAACAAGTTTATCAGGAAATAAGTACATAGCCAGTTTTGTATGTATGTACTCTGGTTGGATTGAAGCATTTCCAATTCCTGATAAATCGGCACAAAACGTCGCACATTTACTGATTGACGAAATGTTTCAAAGGTTCGGTTGTCCATTAGCTATAGTGACAGACAATGGAACAGAAAATGTAAATAAAGTCATGAAAGAAACGATGCAAACTTTAAATATAAAACATATTTGTACTTCTTATTATAGGCCTCAAAGTAATAGTGTAGTTGAACGAAGTCATCGAACGTTACACGATATCTTGTCTAAACGGTTGAAATCTGACATTTCCACTTGGGACATCCACCTTAACCAGAGTCTTGCGGCTTTGAGATTCAATATAAGCGCTAGCACAAAACAATCTCCATTTACATTACTTTATTGTAGAGACCCAGTGTTACCGTTAGACAATATTCTCAAACCTAGACGTAAGTTTTTAGGTGAAGGTGATTTCCATCAGATCGCACTGGAAAATCAACATCGTTCATTCCTACAAGTTTATAAAAATGTCAAAAAGGCTAAGAAAAGACAGGCTAAATATGCAAATAAAAATACTAAGAACATCGAATTTGAAGTTGGTGACCCGGTCTATTATAAGAATTTCTTAAGGAAGAATAAACTTGAAGACCGATGGACACCTTACTATAGAATTGTCGAAAAAACATCTTCAGTATCGTATAGAATTAAGAGTCAACTCACAGGCAAAACGACCAAAGCTCATGCAGAGCAATTACGGTTGGCTAAAATAGACGAATGGGACATTCCAACTGATGAACAAAGACTTAGACAGGCTAAGTATGTAGAACCCCTCTCTGACTCGAGTTCTGAGGGCTCTGCTTCGGAGTATTCCGAAAACGATGAGTTACCCTTGGCTCAGTTAATTAAAAAGTACAGACGTGTACGTGCAAACTCCTCCAGTGAGAGCGATATACCTCTCATGGAATTAGCTCAAAGGATAAGAGCACAAGATAACGATGTTATCGACGACAGTAATGTAGAAAGTAAATCGTCGTCAGGTGATGTATCGGATGAGTAATTTATGGTCCAATCAGGTGTGTGTGTTGTGAGTGATGAGAAAGGCGCCTTCTCTGATCTTATATCGATATACTGCCTTGGGCCATACAAATTACTATTGCGGTCAAATAACCTAATTATCATTATGGATACAATAACGAGTATATCGTGTATCGAAAATGATGGGAACAAAACAAGATTTACCTAATTAAGGCGTAGATATCTAACGCTTATCATGATTTGTGTCCACATGTAACTAAAATTAATTATAATTTTGTTGTAGTTGTTGTTGTTTTAAAGTAAATGGTCCATTATTTTTCAGAAAGAATGCGTTGTATTTGGTTATTATTATTACCTGTTTATGGTATCACTGCGGCAACCAAGGTTTCTCAGAATGTACTCTTTCGACCAGTACATCAGGTATCCACAAGTCGGTCCAAATGGCGCTTGACCCTGGTCCATGATATAACTCCGTTTATGAAGTTCACCAGTGACCTTGCTACCGACATAGGACGCACTCTACTCACTGTAGATGAAATTATGACAAATTATTCTGCAGGGAACAATAGCTTAGAATACGAAAATACGTTTAGCAAACTAAAAATAGAGGTAATAACTCTTCGAGATGAAACAGAAGATCTACTGGATGGTGTGCAAGACTATAGAGCACTGTCCATGAAACATGCTAGGCCAAGAAGAGCACTTATTCCATTTGTAGGAAAAGCATTAAGTTGGTTGTTCGGTACTGTCAGTACCGATGATTTAAATGTCATTAGAAGTAATATCGATAAGCTAGCTAATAACCAACAAGCTATTCAACATGTAGTTGCTGAAAGTTTGTCTATATTAAATGTATCACGCTTACATATTTCAGAAAATAGGCAACAAGTTAATTTATTATCAGATAGTTTACGAAACTTGGATATCAAGATAAAAAACGTAGTTCGGCAATTTAAAAAGAAACTAGTAAGTTTAGAGGGATTTCTCCATCTTTATTTAAGAATGAAATTAGTTCTCGATGACCTCAAAGACATGTATCTTAGAGCACAGATGTACGCATCGGAAATCAAACTTCAACTTAACATGCTTTCCTTAGGACATTTGTCCCCAAGTGTATTGATTCCCGGAAGTCTCCGCAGACTATTAATCGAAATTCAAAAGTCTAAAGCGACCTTTAAAATGGTAGCCTCATATCGGCTCGAGGCTGAGGTCATCGCAGTTAATACTGATAGAACAAAATATGCAATTCTAGATTCTGACGAATTCACTAAATGTTCAGACCCATTGGCTGGATTTTGCCAAATTACAAGTCCTATCTACCATATTAATTTGTCACAACTCTGTATAGTTGCCTTGTTTACGGAAAATCGAGAGAAGATACGCCAATTATGTAAAGTCTTTATTAAGCCGAACTGTATTTTACCGGTGGCAACATATTTAGCAAACGGTATGTGGATGGTTGTCACGCAACGACCAATCCGATTTTCAATTGTATGTCATCAGACTAGTTTCGTACACCAGTCTGTCGTGATACGGCCACCGATACAATCGATCACCTTACCACAATCATGTAAGGCTCAAAATGATTTTCTAGAACTACCCGCACACTTTTCGAACGAAAGTTCATACATGGATTCCACGTCCTTCCCAAACGTGACTGCTATTTTTGAGAAAAGAATTCAAGACCTTTGGCAACCTTATATCACCAAATTCGAGAATTACTCACTTACAAAATTACCACCCAAATTAGAACATATTACTGATATCCCAATGCAGGAACTAACGTACGAAATTGAAAATTTACAGAAATTAGAGCAGGAAGCTACAGAAAAATGGCCACTTCGGAAAATCGCTGCTATTAGCATAGCAGTAATAACGGGTATTTTGATACTTTTTGTCTTTATAAAATATTGTATAGCTGGAAGAATGGGGCGCATAGGTTTCTGTCGGTTCTTCGGACTCGGACTGCTCATGGGCGGGGGAACAAAAGGTCTTCCGATGTGCAGTTGCGTACTATACCTTCCGCTCCAAACGATGAACCAACATCTCGACCTGATCCTACAGTTCCTCTACTCCCCAACAACATGTACCCGCCGATTCCTAGACCGAGGGATGATACTCCACCCCCATCTGATGAATCCAGTCTCCCTGTACCTAAAGGAAGAATGACCCTGGACTACTTACTAAAGTTGGCACAAGCCCGAAACGCTGCCAAAGCCCAGGAATCTACAATGTAATTGACATAATTTTAAAAACAAATGTGTAGATCTCTTTATAGTTGAAGACTTCAAGTTTAGCTAAATGGTGAAACGTATCCTGCTTCTTCAAAAACGAAACAACATAACCTATGGCGAAATAAACGATGTAACCTGAGAAACCTACTCACCAAATGGTAGAATCGACAACCGCAAACCCAAGCACCTTAAGAAACTTTAATGGTGGATATAACTTTTAATGGTGGATATAACTTTTTATGGTGGATATAACTTTTTATGGTGGATATAACTTTTAATGGTGGATATAACTTTTAATGGTGGATATAACTTTTAATGGTGGATATAACTTTTTATGGTGGATATAACTTTTTATGGTGGATATAACTTTTTATGGTGGATATAACTTTTAATGGTGGATGTAACTTTTAATGGTGGATATAACTTTAATGGTGGATATAACTTTGATGGTGGATATAACTTTGATGGTGGATATAACTTTTAATGGTGGATATAACTTTTAATGGTGGATATAACTTTTTATGGTGGATATAACTTTGATGGTGGATATAACTTTTTATGGTGGATGTAGTAGCTTCTAGTAGTGCATATAAACAATATAGACTTACAATCATGCCTTGTGTTATTTCTGATTATATTGAAGAATTGTTTTTTGTAATGTGTATTTTTCAACTTGTATTATTAATAATTATGATGTTAAGAATCGACAGGTGTGAGGATAGATTTAACCGTTTTCTTTTGGTACCCCAATTTCATGACCCTCTGCAAAGGGAGGAATGTAACAAAACTGAGATCCGCCCGTATTCAGCTTTTTGTTAGTAGGTTAATGTGTTATTGCCTACGGCGCTTTGGATCATGAAATTGGTATAGAAATTAATAGCCCATGAATTAGGACTCGTGGCCGTTATATAATGGTCATTCATATTCAAAAAGGTACAATTTAATGGCTAATTTTTTTAAGTACCAACATTAAAAGATTAACAGATTATCATTCCTGTCGATATGACGTATACAGTCGAAAGTATAAATATGACTACTCTCTGTCTTCAGTACTTAACAGGAAACGTTATTACTCATAAAGTCTTATCTTTGGCTACCTTTAAGACTAGTAGGCATTCGAAATTATTCTCGACTAGAAATACACTTTAAATTCTTCTCTTGGTGCTATTCTCTTGATGTTATTCTATTGAATGTCAACTTTAAGAACACAACGTGAAGTCTTATATTTATATAAAGATATTTGAAAACTGTTATTCAACTTATTTACGGACGGGGACCACCAGCATTGGATCGCAAAAAGGGGATATCGACAACACTTTGTCATACGTGCACGTTAATGATCCAATTGAATCACAGTCAAAATTACGATACCTACCGAGGAGGTAATTATAACTGATGTAGAAACAAATGTCATGTATTCAAAATGGCGACTTCCTGCAGTGAAGAAGATGAATTGGGCCTAAAGTTGTATGATTTTCCAGGAAAAAAGACTCGTTCTCGAGTATGGAAATACTTTGGATTCAGAAAGGTCGAGGCATGCCCCCCTGTGAGAGAAAATCTGAACATGCAAGTTATTATTTGCAAAATATGCAGGAAAGAGTATGCATACAAAGGTATGTCTGACACTTTCTGTAGTAGTCTTGAGACAAGTCCAGGATAGTAGTATAGTAGGTAGGGTACAATGATATCAAGGTACAATTACAGAAATATCTTGTTGAACTATTTGCATCAGAAAGTGTTAATTCTAGTTCCGCACAGCAGATTCTAAGCTCTACAGCTGACAATAATAATCACTTTTTATAAACCCGCAACTATGTTGTTATGTCTTCTGGAAAGTCGTCAAATAAGTTTGACTGCACATGAGTATTTCCTGCGAGATATAACAAATACTTTCGCTATTATGAAACAACAGGATAGTTTGCATTGAAGGAACAATTTTAGATTAATGACAGAGGATAATTATAGAAAACAATGATATAAATATACATTGTTTAAATCTAAGTGTATCAATGAATTTGCATCAGTAGGAGCAATATAAAATAACTGGTATTAATGATATTTTGATGGGTAATGAATCTAATGATCCAATTAATGAAGTAAATAATTTTGTTGATGATTTTGCCGTGCACGTTAATGTTCCAATTGAATCACAGTCAAGATTACGATACCTACCGAGGAGGTAATTATAACTGATGTAGAAACAAATGATTTTATATTTAATCCAATTAGATCAGAGAAAAGAAGAAAGTTATGTGAATTAATAAGTTGACCTGTCAACAACTCAAACAATGTTTGATCTGGCTGATATTTTTAACTTGAAAAAAAAACACAAGTTACAACATCTGAACAGGATAATTGTTTTACTAAGACTGGAAAACGTTTCAACCCAGGCAACAAAGCGTTACAATGGTTGAAATAGAAACAACACGAAAGAACAATTTAGGCTCTCAGTCAACATCAACCATCAGGCGAAGGAGACGGCAATTGTCTTCCAAGAAGTTTTCTTCTTTTTTTTTTTACGTGAAAATAATCATAGCAAAGGACAACTTGAAATGAACCACAGATAAAGTTTTGGAAGAAATGAAATGAATTAAGGAACTTCAACACCAAGGATTGTGGAAGAAACGGAAACATGAGATTTTCAATATCCGTACATGTGGTTCGGCACAATCTTGTCACAGCAATGCCATGTATTTACACAAGTAAAGATCGCCAACAGTGTTGTCAAAGAAAGATAGGCAAGTCCTTGACTTGAAGTACCTAGAAAAAGATAACGAGAACTTTAAACCGTACATCGCATCAGTAGCCTACTATCACTAAGTTCAACTCCAGCTGTCTGTACAAGGGTCAGAATTCTGGGGTTAATCAGCAAGGTAAAACCCGTACTACAGTGTACAATTACCGCATATACACATGAGCATTGGGTTACTAGGAATATTTCTGAATGTTTGAATTTCTTCCCATTTTTTATTATTTTATTTTCTTCCAAAAACCACTCCTTCTCCTTTATACTTTGAAAGAAATAATCTCTTTGTGGTTTTCAAATCCTTCGGAGGTTCTAAGACAGTTTCATATCCCGTCCTCATATCAGTTCCATTAGTAATTATTGTAAGGTATTGTTGAAAATCGGCCAATTTTAAAATTTTTAAAAAAGAAAGTGATTTTGTTTTATGAGATAAATCACTATTTATATCATAGGTATCATCGATCAAAGGCCGAATAAAATAATAATTATCATAAAATGATAAATAATACAATTGAGATATAAAAATAAGTCAAACCAAATTTATTATCAGCCAAAATAAATAAATTATAGTTTTCTTTTGATTCGACCTTCAAAAAGAGAAGATGACCTTTTTTTATTTTAGATCTTGATCTTAAAATATAATTTGAATCTTTTTCAAAATCATATACATTTGATACTTTGCAATTTTGTTTTTTCTTTGAAAATGATAGATAAAGCGTTATCTAATCTTTGGAGATTTATTAAGACATTGCTCATAATTTGGGAAAAAATCTGTTTCAACCAAGTCTTCAATTAAAAGATGGGTAGGATAAGGAACAAGTTTTTTCTTTTAATCAAAAGCCTCCATATTTCTATTTGCTCACCCTCAAATCTTTTAAAATTAGTCTTTGTTGCTAAGAAACAATTTCCAAAAGAAAAAAACAAAATGTTTTATGCATCTCTATCGTCTGTGAGTTGAAAGTATCCCGGACATGAACAGACCTGTATCAGACGTACCTCTTTAGTTCAGTAACATATAGTAACATTACAATGATTAGTTCGAATCAAGAACAAGTCATCTAACTTTGCTAGGCCTGTTACCAAATCATATAATTCTGAAATCTTCAGAGGAGTTGTCTTTTGTGTGAAGTTTAGTTCTGTCGTCTTCCACAAGTTATCAGATGAATACAACTACCTTCACAGATCAAAGCTCTTAATTCAAGCCGTGAATTAAATATTTGGTAGAACTTAATGATGATACTGAATGTCTGTTGATTATAGGAACTGTCAATTTTAGTTAGACAAATTTTAGTAGTTATTTACAAAATATTTCATCGTCTGTCCTGTAGTAAACCTATTGTATTAGTAGAGTTTTTCATGGAGATTATCATGTAGTCTGGTAAGGGAAGGACTGATAGTTGTTGATTAGTAGTGTTACTCTATAATGTTGAGCTAATTTGATGATATTTCACTGGTATTCATTAGCTGAACCTACTCACTATAATGTTGAGATTAGTTCACCTATTCTTTAAACCCTGTGTCAAATTTCCAAACTTTGAAGTTTATCTTCAATGAGTGAATTCAGTTTAGTAAATACTATATGTTAATACTGATCAGTTACAGTATACATTCTGCTGACGGTTTTCCTAATATAGAATAAGAGGTGAACACACGTTATCACGTATTAAGTCAATAGAAAAGATATACAAAAAAAGAGGAGTCGCTGTTAAGAATAGAACAAGATGTAGTATACAAGACTATACGATGTTTACTGTAGGATGCAATTATTAGACGAGATTTTTGACCATTAGGTGATGTATAGATGTTTCCTAATTTTATAATTTATCACAGACGTTATTTAGTGTGCTCCGGAGTCTTTAATACTATATGATGTCATTAATAAGAGAGGTGACTAAGATGACCAGGCTATCCCCACCATGTGCATACATATAAAAACCATATAATTCTGTTATTTGAATTTTCATTGCCACAATGACAGGGTCATTTTGATGCCCAAAACTTCGTAGAACTTGACAGACAACATTACTGGTGTTCCATTGTCCAGTTTTGATATGTGAACCTCACAAGCGGTCTAGTTTTCAACCTTTTTTAGTTAAATAAAGTAATGGCACAAAAAAGGCCACTGGACAATTTCTTGATCAACATGAAGTGTGACAACTCGTCTTTATAATACAACAAGTAGGAATTCTCACTGTTAATAAACTTAAAACGATAGCATACCATTACTTAAATTTATTTATTACTAAATTCACTTAAAATGTGTTACAACTTCAATTTTTGTCGGTTTGTTTTAAGTAGGTCATATTTATGAGTGTATCTTCAAGGGAAGTAACTCAGCAGAAAATATCTTCGTTGTTCAAAGAACACTTTTTGGAGATATTCAAAATGATAGACTTAACTGTATATGACTTGAAAGATTAATTTTATTTAAAAAAAAATCTGCTGTGACTGGATGCAATGTGAAATATAACCTTATGCAGAACGCGATCAAAAGTCCTTTGACCCTATTAGCATAACTATTATGTAGATTTTTATATATCTGTTATACACATTTTCATGGATTCAAGATCATTTTGATTTCGCCAAAGTCTTTCACTCTCAGATATGGTTAGGTCTATTATCTGAAAATCGTTTTCATCAACATTTAATATTTTATCCTTATCAGGGTCACGGACTGAGAGAGTCTGCCACAATCAAACAAGTTAAATCTCTCGATTTCCGTGTAGGCCTACAGCATACCTGGTTTCACTTATTGTTAAAATGACTTGATTATTTTGAGTCTGAGGCATTGCGATTTTATTTTTGGCTAACTATTTCTAGTTCAGACATTATGGCGTGATATCGATGCACCACGATTTGTATTTAACAAATGAAGTAACACAGTTATGAGTCAAACTACAGCGAGTTTGTTTCTACATAATTATATTGACGGCATATTTCCTTCCCTATAGGAAACACTTCACCTCTTGCTCTCGGTGGCTGTATTAATGTTATTTTTTTCAAGCTATTTCAGCGCGTTGACTTGTGATTTGTTTAACCTTGTGTTGTAACCGGGATGAAATAATAAAATATACAACAGTGCTACTTTAAGGGAGGTAACTCGTCTTTTAATCTGAAAACGTGATATATGTTACTGTAAATACATCTCAGTATTAAAAGTTTAAACCACAGAGATTGCTTAGCATTAGGTTCATAAATTAAGAACGGTTGAAGTTCCAGAAATATGTTATTAACAACAATATTCGCCATTCAGTTTCAAGTAGGTCAACTTTATGTTCATAACTTCAAGGGACGTAACTCGGCAGGTATTTCTTCTGTAACCAGACAATTTTTGTGTCAATGAGAGAATAGAGACGACCAAAATGGCCCAATAAAATAATAATAATTAGGTTATATATTTTATTTAATATAGTAATAATTTTAACAATATACAGTTAAGAGCACTTTATACCGGTATATCATATTATACATATCACTTTGTCAACATACAATTTACTGGCCCATGAATGTCTAAAATCAACTGCTAAATGCAGTGAAATTGCATTTTGTTTCGGGCTTGATCGTGATATGATGCATTAACAATTCTCCAAGAATAACTAGTCTATTACTCTGAAATCATTAATTATTCTCCAAGAATAACTAGTCTATTACCTTGAAATCACTAATAATTTTCCAAGAATAACTATTACTCTGAAGTCACTAAGCAGTTTAAATGTATAAGGGTTTGCCGGGACCTACTTGTATTTAATAAAGTGTTCACCATGAAAAACAAGGCGTTATATATCCACATTGCACAATTACAAAATACACCTTTCTAAAATCAACAAATCAATCTACTAAATACAAACTAGAGATATTCATAGCTTATGTAAGTTCGACCACTGTAATTTATAATAACACGTAGCAGATACCCTATTGAGCACAATAAAGATTAGTTTTTATCTGATTTAAATGAAACTTGGGATTTATTTTGATGAGATCTTGGACAAGTTAGAATTTGAAGGATTTTTCGATGAACGTTTTTTGAATGAGGAAAAATGCGTCAAAAACGTGTTTGTGAACACAAATAGTGACTACAGTTTTTATCTGATTTAATGAAATTTGGTGTGATCTTATATATTGATGATATCTTGATCAGGTTTAAATTTTCACAATTTCTCACATAGCAATTTGAGTTATTGTCCTTTGCATCAGAGCAGTGTGATTTAATAATTTGATGTATTTAGGTTATTGGTGTTGATTTTAAAAAAATATATTATAGTAAAACTCAACATAAATAACAGTAAATATATATATCAATAAAGCAAGAGCAATATGAAGATCTTTAAAATGAGAAAAGCCACATAAGACTGTATAATCATTTTTACCAGCTGCCAGTGGGCGTATGTTACCTTGCCTGGCAAGCTATCTTTGTGTACCTATACACATATATGTAATTTGAAATGAAATTTCCTAATCCATACAGTATATCGTTTTATGTATTTATTTCAGAGATTACAGTTTACTACAATAAACTAACTATTCAGTAAGAATGGTGACATTCAACGGGACGACAACATCAGAGAAAGGTGATGGTGCTGAAACCTTGCTGAAAAACCCAAAGGCTGAAAACATATCAGTACCTATAGGAGTTGTGAGCATAAAACCAGCAAAGAAATCATGTTTTGTTGGGGGGCCTCACTGTCGTAGTCTTGTTACTATGTATCACAACTCTAACTGTGAGCATCTGGTTAAACTCCGAGCGACAATTGCCATCGTTCTGCTTTCCTTGTGACAAACTAAAAGAAACATCAGGAACATTTGGTAAAGGGAGGTCAACATGCTGTATCAACACTGAGTCGGAGTATGTCCAAACTATGAAACATGTAAGTTTAAATATTGATTGCACTACAACTACCTTGATACTCTGCAGTTTTGGTTTGTTGGTTGAGCATCCCTACATAGCTTAAAATGTTTTTTGTATGCTCAGGTTTATCTTCTGGGAGTTCACATATTTATATGAAATATGGGTTTATGATCTTCGATTTTTTGGAGTTGATAATTGCCATTTTGATGGGGTTGGTTTGAGTTAGTAGGCTTCAGACAAACTAGACTCCATGGTGAGCTGTGAACACTATTACTGATTGGTTTAGCCAAAAAACATTCTCGTTTCTGAGACGGACGTACGATTGGCCAAAAAAAAAAACAATGACGCACCTGTCCCTTTAACAGTGCTGCTAATATGAATTTTTTTGATTGAAAAGTCCAAGTCACAAAACAGCGTAAGTAAAGTAAACAGACCAGATAATGAAATCTGCATAAAGTCGAACCAATTTGAGGTGTTCATTCGTACACAATTATATATTGACGGATTGAAAATAAAATTACATTTTCTAAATTTCAGATGTTAAAAAAAACGAAGCCTGAATCCAAATTTGAAGGTTCTGAAGATCCTGATGCCTTAATAGCAGGTAAGGATGGATTAGTATAACAAATGCCGCTGTCCTGGAAAAAATCATTTTCCCTCATTTCACACAACATGGCGTTGCCCGCCTTTATTAGCCCAAATAATCCCCATATGAGAAATCAAACAAACACTGGGTTCCATCAATAACTAGGACCTAAATGATTCTCAGAACTGTTAAAAGTCAAACGCAATTGGAAACAACAAGAATAGAGCGAGAGAAATCGAATGCAAACGATGTAAACTATTGTAAACAACGTGCCTTTTCCTTCGACGTAACGTTCAAGTGTTTCAAAAACAGAACTCTACATGTTTTATTATATTGACCCCCGTAAAGATGGGTTCCCTTATTTTCATTGGTGGAAATGAAAATGCTTATCCTTATAGAGGGGGATCGTTGCCAAAAGTATTCACAAAGTCAAACTTGAAAATAAACCTTCCTAAAGTCAAAAAGTCAATGTACTAATTACAAAGTAGAGATATTGATAGTTTACTTTTCAAACTTTATTTCACATCAGACACCATTCAAACTTCCCTTTACGAAAATGAATTCTTAACTTTGCATTATTGACAATATCAACTATGTCTTCTTGACTTTGCATTCGTGAAAGATGTAAGTTCGACCATTGTATTCTTTAGAGTTGTAAAGTCAACTTCTGCATTCTTGAACGTTTACCATATAAGGTAACGTGACCTACTTCATTTACATAATCTGGAAATTCACGGAAACTAACGGAAATATAAATCAATAATTGCTCCATGTCAAAGGGATTTAACTCTAAATAAGCCTCAAAACCGGATGTTCAAATGCGGCATTGGACGGAGTGTCATTATTTCAGTGGCCGTCCAATTTTTGTGGCCGATGGATACACTAAATTTTTGGATTGATTGTAATTGTTGTAATTAAATCAAAAAACGAAAAATTTATAATTCATTCCTTATTCAAAAACCTCTAAAAATTGTCGTGTAATGAATAGAATCATTACATAGTTATCAACATTTCTTTGGCCAGTGACGGATATCCAATATGGATATTGAAAAATGACAATTTTTTTCCAATGGTCTCCTTTGGAATTATGAATGCAATTGTTGGTGCCATTAAGGTCCTGAAATGCAAATCTGACATCTTTAGGTGTACAATAGGGAGAAATGCTTTTTATTCCTATAATCGCTAAAATATGGCCAGTGACAAATATCCAATATGTCGGACTGGCCAGTCAAAGACCCTACATGGCCAATTTTTGCACAGTCCACAGTAATGGAGGTGGGGCAGATTTTTGGATGGAATTGGCACAAACATAATCACATAGTGCCTTCAGACCTGTGAATATCCCTAAAATTCCAACATAATGGTATTTTAATGCCTAACTCTGTCACTGGCTAGTCAATGACTAAGCCTCTACATGGCCAATTTTTAAACTATTGCAAAAATGTTTCCTATGGTCTGCTATGGAATTATGAATGACATTTTTGGTGCCAGTGACATCCTAAGATGCCAATCTAACATATTTAGGTGTGCAATGGGGAGAAATGCGCTTTATTCCTAAATTTCTAAAATATGGCCAATGACGAATATCCAATATGGCGGACTGGCCAGTCAAAGAAGAAGCCCCTACATGGCCAATTTTTGCACAGTCCACAGTAATTGGGATGGGGCAGATTTTTGGATTATTCATTGATAATTTTAATTCACTTCTTATTGGCATTCCTGAAAAACTTCTAAAAAAATTGACTAAAATTCAAAATACGTCAGCACGCCTCATAACTAGAACAAAACTCCATGACCATATTACACCAATTTTATTAATTTGACACTAAAAAATAAGGAAACCCATCTTTAATCAAATAGTTTGCTTATTTGACACTAAAAAGATAAGGAAACCCATTTTTAAATCATACACATATCTACTGATAATATTGTTTTCAGAAAAAGAAATGAAAATGTTCGAGTCTAAAAATACAACAATAACAATACTTCACTCTTCACCAGTAGCGGCTCATGTCCTGGTATCTTGTACCAATTCCTCTTATTACCAATATCCTCAGAGTAAGTATGATATAATACCAATTCCTCTCATTACCAATATCCTCAGAGTAAGTATGATATAAAACCAATTCCTCTTATTACCAATATCCTCAGAGAAAGTATGATATAGTACCAATTCCTCTTATCACCAATATCCTCAGAGTAAGTATGATATAATACCAATTCCTCTTATTACCAATATCCTCAGAGTAAGTATGATATAATACCAATTCCTCTTATTACCAATATCCTCAGAGTAAGTATGATATAATACCAATTCCTCTCATTACCAATATCCTCAGAGTAAGTATGATATAAAACCAATTCCTCTTATTACCAATATCCTCAGAGAAAGTATGATATAGTACCAATTCCTCTTATCACCAATATCCTCAGAGTAAGTATGATATAATACCAATTCCTCTTATTACCAATATCCTCAGAGTAAGTATGATATAATACCAATTCCTCTTATTACCAATATCCTCAGAGTAAGTATGATATAATACCAATTCCTCTCATTACCAATATCCTCAGAGTAAGTATGATATAATACCAATTCCTCTTATTACCAATATCCTCAGAGCAAGTATGATATAATACTAATTCCTCTTATTACCAATATCCTCAGAGTAAGTATGATATAATACTAATTCCTCTTATTACCAATATCCTCAGAGTAAATATGATATAATACCAGTTCCTCTTATTATCAATATCCTCAGAGTAAGTATGATATAATACCAATTCCTCTTATTACCACAATCCTCAGAGTAAGTATGATATAATACCAATTCCTCTTTTTACCAATATCCTCAGAGTAAGTATGATATAATACCAATTCCTCTTATCACCAATATCCTCAGAGTAAGTATGATATAATACCAATTCCTCTTATTAATACTAATATCCTCGGAGTAAGTATGATATAATACCAATTCCTCTTATTACCAATATCCTCAGAGTAAGTATGATATAATACCAATTCCTCTTATTACCAAAATCCTCAGAGTAAGTATGATATAATACTAATTCCTCTTATGACCAATATCCTCAGAGTAAGTATGATATAATACCAATTTCTCTTATTACCAATATCATCAGAGTAAGTATGATATAATACCAATTCCTTTTATTACCATCAATGGCGGGTTTCTAGCTGAAGAGTGGGTCTAGTTTGACAATCCAATATTATTGTATAATCAATGAAACCAATCAACTTCACAAATTCAAGCGAAATCTATTTTTAGAATTTCAGGATCTACCATCTATTACAACATTGGAGCTGTTACCACGAAGATCTCTGTCTGTGCTACGTGGAGTGGGACTAAGAAAGGATCATCTGATCATCCAAACCAGAGGCCTGTACCTGATTTACAGTCAGATTTATTTCAAGGTCATTCGGGGGACCAACTGGCCATTGAGACTGAATTTACTGTGTCATATAGTAGAAAGATACAACCGGCGAATACCAAACGATGGAATAGAGAAACTTCTTCAGAATATGTATACTCTACCTAAGAGAGCCCCCGGGAACACCATGTTTGATTTTCACACTAGTTATATATCTGGTGTGTTTGAGATGGAGGTCAATGATGAGGTGTATGTCAGAGCCTTACTTGAAGATGACATAGCAAGAGACCCCACTTCCAACTATCTGGGACTGGTTAAATTGGGTGGGTAGGGCGGAGGGTCTGATTATCTCAGTCTCATCTGAGTAAACCCAACAGTATATTAAATCTTCCTATTGAAGGGGTTCGTTGCCAAACAAAGTTATATTTCCAGTGGTTGGAAAAAGTGTATTGAGAGAGTAAGTGGAGAATTCAACAGTTTACTTTATTTCACAACAATCTAAAAGTAAGATCCAATATGAATTTTGAATTGCTAACATAATCTATCTATAACAAAACACAAGACAAAATTATGGAATATAACACACTTCTTTAATAAGGTTAGGCACATAATGTTTCAACACGTGTATATTGTGTTGAAACATTATGTGCCCAACCTTATTAAAGAAGTGTGTTATATTCTATAATATTGTCTTGTGTTTTTGTTATATGTGCTCCTCGCTTCTAAATGTCGTTCAAATCTTAATCTATGTCTTCTTGACTTTGTATTCTTGAAAAATATATATGGTTATGTATGTTTAACGTTTACCAAATAAGGTATAGTGACTTACCTGATTTACAGAATCCAGACCTTAGACTCCAACGGAAATACAACAACGAATCCCTTCCCTACAATATTGCCCCTTTATAGTAGCAGTTGTAATGGTTCATGTCAGAGGGACGGGTAGGGCCAGGATTTGTCCGATTAGGTTTCACATAAAATTGTATCTTATAAAAGAAAAAAGAAAAAATGGAAAAATATAAATAAAAAATAAAACAGAAAAATATTTGTTGACATTTTATTTTGTCCATAATATACTACAATAATATTAAATGTTTAATTATTATAGTTATGTAGGTTTGCCGCTTTAACTTTCATATCTTTAACACTCTATCTGAATCCATAATCAGTCTCTGTACATTAATCATAATTTAGTTTATTTAAGTATTTCTTGTTAACTTTTAATCTCTGTGTTTTCCTTATTCAATCTTTATTAGTTCCGCGACAATCGAAAGAGGCAATTTTCTTTTTTTTTCATTTCCCACCCAACCCTGCTTTTTTTAGTTGTCTTTTTTAGTTTATTGTTTTTTTTTCGGCTTTTCGTATGAATTTTGTGTTGAACTATACCTTCTTATTATTGTGTTTGATTAGATCATAAAAGTACTGGCCTAGATCACAAAGTAAAGATTTATGATATCGGGTGTCCCAAAATTTGACGGGTAATATCTCACCTGTAAGTAAGCTGATCTCGTTCAAAATTCTCGCAGATATGCTTCACAATGTCGTTGTCCAACCCTGAAAATATGACAGTCATCCAATAAAAAATGTACAAGAACTGCCCCGAACAAAATAACATGTCAAAAAATGCAATATCAAGAAAACTTACCTATTTCAACCTGTGTTCAATGTGCCCTCCAATCGTATATATATATACTACCTGTTGGTCGAACTTGTATGTTTTTAGGGACACTCGATGTATATTAAATTGTATCTTAGTTTCGACATAATTGTTTAATATTTTTCTGTATTCAATTGTCTATGTATGCTTTCTGTCACGAGCCATGGGTTTGGATTCTTAATTTTGCATCGGCCGACCAATTAGTGTTTTAATTTTCTTGATCTGTTTAATTTTTAGCTATTTTTTTTTATTATACATAGTAAATTTTTAATGCTTTTATATTAAAATTTCTCAATAAAACTACTCTCTTGTTTTAATACACCAACTTCTCTCCAGACGAAAACTGGCTGAGATCAGATTTTTATAATTCTGTTCAAACTGTCAGTGATGTAGTTCGACGAAATTGGCCTAGAAAACACGTCTTGTAAGCTGTGAAATTTGTCCGAAGTCCAATGTGCTACATGCTGTGCAAGTATTAGATCCCCTTGATATTTGAGAATTGGAACAATAGTAAACTGCTGTGGCAGAACTTTCTTCATCGTATTGTTATGTTGGACTGTAGGGGTTGTGGGTCCAGGATTAATCGTTCCTTAATTCATCTCCACATTGAAAACAATATTCATAATTTCAGCCATGATTTTTATTCTCTCTGGAAGTGATATCATAGATGTTACATATTCATAAGGTCATAGTATACATAGTGTTCTACGATAAGGTTAAAGACATTCAACTAAAGGGAGGTAAATCCAATATTAGGATTAATAGTAATATTCAGACCAACTGTAACTAATACTAACTTAAAGGTTAATAATACTAATACAAATGAAGATCTAAAGATCTGAATGCGACAGTATACTGCTTGGAGTTAGTCTATATAGGAGCATTTCGTGGGCAGAATGTACAGTCCGATTCTCGTATATATATTAAATTGGCCAGCAGTTAGGCTTCTTAGGCCTATGTCTATATGCTGGAAGCGGACGTTAACTTGTCATATAGGTTACCAACCAACTCAACAACCAACTTTTCCGATTGGTAAAGAATAAATAAACCAAGTACCGGTACTAACGATCCAAACCGCAAAACGAAACCTGAAATTCAAACAAGATATTGGCAAAACATTAGTAGCTGAGTTCGGGATATTTCGTTATTCGATGTTGTATCCTATTTTTTAATCAATATCAATATATCCACCATTCAACCAAACACTTCAAATAAACATATCTTTCACACTACTGTTGCTTTCTCTACCGGCTTGAGCGAATCGCAAAAAGGGAAAAAATAGATAGTTTGCTCATGTCCATACATACTGAAGAAGAAAATACGAATGTAAACATGAGGAAGAAAAGCAGAAAAATTGTGTATGAAAGTCAATCAAACTCTTCTCCTATTGCCCTGTTGTATAATTAAACAAAAACAATTTAGATGTCGTCCGACCCAATTCGTCGAATACGTTTAGCCTAAATGGCGGCGCTAGTGGGTGAAATCCTCCCCCCCCCCCCTCCCCTAATATATGTGTCAGCTTCTACAGACTGGGGGTTAAATAAGGGGAGCAGTCGGCCGCAGACTGACTCGATAGGGGGAGGGGGAAACTGTCTAGGCTGAATTCAAAATGCGGGGAACTCTATTTAAGCGTCACAGTCGCAATCCTCTTATCGAGCGATTGAAAGGATTCTCCCTAGAAAATTTGATGCTAGCTACAGAAAAATTGGCAAATATTTACAGTCTAAAAGGAAAAAATGTCAAATAGTTACAATCAATGAATAGACTGTGCAAGATTCCAGTTGATCCGTAATATAAGGTTGAAAAGGGGAAATAACTCCATTGTTTTCATTGAAGAAAACTCAGGTTGAATTAATTTTATTTTCCCAGCTGATATTTGCCTTATTTGTACACAATAATACAATAATAAGTGACTGAACTGTTTTAAATATTGGTACAAAGTCATAAATGTTAAAATATAAGACTAAGTTTAGACATTTTGACTAAAGATTGATCTGAGTTGGCATCTCTTTCTGTTATCTGTCTAACGACTGAAGACGTTAGTACGTGTCTCTGTCTAGACTGGATGTCACTCACTGTCATTGATTGTTGGCAATTAGTTAGATAATTTTGAAAAGCGTATTCTACTTATTATGTTTAAGTTACCACCAGTAGCTTCTCTTTAGGAGAGAATCACCGATGATTAAGATCTAAAATAGTGAGCTACAGTTTTGGCATGGTATCATCTCTTGATACAATGATAGTTGATAGTTGTAAAACCAGGTAGGCTTATAAGACTTATCTAACAAAATTTTCCTTGTGGTTTACTTTGTGGCATTCTGCATCTTCATTAGCCCTAACAAAATCCAAAAATTCATTTCTCTCTGTTACAGATTAGAATAAAAAATCAAGATGATGGACTCAAAGTTGTCAGATACAGGAAGTTTTAAAACAGAGAGCGTGGTCTCGCTGACTAGTGAGACTTGTTCGTGTATAGAGGAAGATAAATTCTTAGATAAAGACAGAGCTTCCAATCTTCTCAATGGTTTCTCTAAACTTTACGAAAATCATGAATTCGTTGACGTTATATTGTGTATAGGCGCTAAAGAATATCCATGTCATAAAAATGTCTTGGCTATTTCCAGCCCTTATTTTATGGCGATGTTTTCGAACAACATGGCCGAAAGTCAGCAAGAGAAGATAACTCTAAATGACATGGACTCCCAGACGTTAAGTTTAGTATTAGATTATATTTATACTGGACAGGTAATACTCACAGAGGAAACAGTTCAAAATCTTTTATCAGCTTCAAATCTATTTCAACTTCTCTCGCTTCGTGATGGTTGCGCTCAGTTTATGATGAATCACGTAACCGTTAGTAACTGTATTGGAATTTATTTTTTTGCGAAAGCTCATCAATGTGAAGTGTTGGCTTCAAAAGCCAAAGAAATGATCAATAATCAATTTTCAACACTGTGTCACCAACAAGAATTTCTACTCCTTCCTGCCGATAAACTAGTGGAGATTATTAAGGACAGTGATATTAACGTCTCTGGGGAGGAGATTGTATATGAGGCGTGTATGGAATGGTTAAATCACGATATGGACTCACGCTATAAACATCTCGTAGACGTCATCAATTGTGTTCGATTCGCGAATATCAGTTCCTACTATTTCTGTGATAGGATCGAGAAAAATACAAGTTTAAACGACTGTCCAGAAATTCAGAAAACTTTAGGTGTTATTCGATATTATCACATGTTAAGAAATAGGCAGCAGGAAATGGATTTGAATCTAATGCCACGGAAAGGTATGCTGTACGAACGTGGTGTAATGATTCTAGCCAATCCCTACACAGAAGATGCCTTGAAGAAATACAACACGATGGAGCTACTGTTACCTAAAACAGGGGAGGTAATCACAATCTGTCGTCTGCCACAAAGTCTTTATACACCAGGTGAGGTTCTGGTTGGTGAAATTTCTAATTCGTCTTTATTGATTTATATAGTTGGTGAAAGTTCAAATTTTTTTTTTTTGAGGAACTTTTCAGATTTCCACTTTCTGTTTCTGATGTTGATATTCGAGCAAATATGTTAACATTGTATCTTTTTAGTTTATTATGTCACCTGGAACAGAATGTAAAACTCTATTGTTTAATGACTGTAAAAATTTGTAGTTGGAATATTTATAACAGAAGATACCTTAGAGACAGTTTGATGTTTCTTTTGAAGGATGCATACAAATTTATTATCTTTCTTTGAATAATATGCATTCTGTTGTGTTCATTGTATAAAAAAACTCTCAGAAGCCTGAAAATTTGAATGGTGGAAATAGAAGCTGTAAATGACCCTAAAAGTTTCGAAAACCTCTTTACAAACTTTTTAGGTTCACTATGTTGCCTGGAGTAGGATGTAAAATCATTTTATATTTTAATTTTTGCAGGTGTTGCTGTGACGGGTGATAATCAGATTTATCTGGGGGGTGGGGCAATACGTAAAATAAACTATCGTGGTTTTATAACAATGGAAGGTGTCTGTAGTGGATTTTATTTATTTGATCAGCTAGAAGCTACGTGGACCTGTAAGACTAAAATGATGGTGTCCAGGTCTCAATTTACGCTAACTGTTGTAGATGGGTGAGAAATTTAATTTTTCTATGGATCTAAGGAAACAGGCTCACCATCTATTTGACCAATCATACCTTAGTTTCCGAAACGGATTTTTTTTAGCTTACATAATCAGTAATCGTGTTAACAGCTCATTGTCGAAATTTGAATCTTCATGTGTCCTGAATTATTAGCGTTTGAAAGTTAGAGACGACTCCTGTGATGAATTTATACTCAAATTTAATATTTTTTTTATTATAGGTATATATTTGCTGTTGGTGGCCATGATGAGAATGATATACTAAACTCCGTGGAACGTTACGATCCTCATACTAATACATGGTGTATGGTGGCGCCACTACCTCAACCGTTGAGATTAATGACAAGTGTTAGCTATCGGGGGAAACTCTATGTATTCGGTGGTGAAACTAATAGTGATTTCAGTAATAATGCTTACAGGTAGGAAATTTTATTCTCTAGGAACTTGGCTTAGTCCTTGTAGTAGACCACCATCATTGTACAGGACAGTCTTTAAGGGATTGAAAAGATATTTTCTAAAATTTTTCTGTTTTTTTGCACCATTTCAATCAGGTTTTCTCCTGTCAGTGATGCAGGTCGGGAGAACTGACATGAAAAAGCGTCTAGACTTTAGAATTGGACAATAAACCTAGTCTCTCGTTGTGACCATCTTCATTAGCCCATTAGGTACAGAAAAGTATGTTGTAAAACTGTTCATGTAATTTCATTTTGGTTAAATTTTAAGTCTTAAATAATTTTGTATAATCTAACATCTTTGCAAGAAGAAATATACTAGATAATTGTATTTCAGGTATGATCCAGCCACAGATAAATGGACAACACTAGCCTCTATGTCAACTCAGCGTGTACTAGCTGGTAGTGTCATATACAATGAAAAAATCTATGTGATAGGTAGGGGAGATAACTCATAATTATATACCTTTTATTAGACGTTTTGATTTATATCTGTGAACTATGTAAATTATATGATGGACAACTGATATTATGTCTAGGTTAAAGGGGCAGTCTCATTTTTTAAGTAGGTCAGGAAAGTTGGAATGCAAAGATGTATCTATGTAGGGGAGATAAATCTTATTTCTCTATCCATTATTACAGTTGTTATTTATTCATTTCTGAGGACTGACTATTGTAACTTCAATATCAACAGTCCATATTATGTATTGATAGTATTGAACAATCTTGAATACAAACTAATTGTACTAGAACTGCACAAAAATCGCATAATCACTTCAAATTTTGATGGCGAATTGGATTGTTTCACAGAGTTGAATTGTCGTCTGCTAGGTGATTAGGTGAGGTGGGGTTCTAATCCTCCTCAAGCTAAGAAAAATTCTGATTCCTGTGCCAGTGCTTCTGTGAGTTTGTCTGGTGTCTCCTTTCATCCCCTAATTCCCAACTTGATATTTCAGGTGGGAATTCAGCTATCAGTGATAAATGGAAGAAGGAATATTTACCTGAACATTGTGTCAGCTCGGTTGAAATATTTGATCCTGTAACAGACACCTGGTCTCCTGGCCCAGAATTACCCAACGCTTTATGTGGGGCTGGTAAGTGGCTTAATATATATGTCTGTCTTATCCTTTACACACTTTAGGTTGGCTCATTCTAAAAATATTGTTCATTGAAAGAGAAATTTGCTAAATGAATTTTGACAGGAAACGTGTAAAATTTGATTTAAATTCAACTATTTTTCAGGAATTGTGAAATACTCAAACACTATATTGATAGTAGGAGGTGAAGATGATAAGAGCTGGATGGCTGGTTTCTGTTGGTTACGTCATGAGGAAGACGGTAATCTGACCTGGGCTGAGGGACAGGAGTTACCCACGGTGATGAGCACGTTCGGATGTGTAGTGGCCAATATGCCTCATGAACTTTTAAAACAGAAGGAACTTTGATAACTTCACGGAGGAGTGTGTAATTAGTGTTTACAGATCTGCATGCTGAAGTCAAACTTCTTAGTAACGATAAGTTACATAATATTATTATTGATGCAGACGTGAACTCTTTTTGAAGGATGGTGCGATATTGTGTAAAGTTGTCTGGTATTATTACTGGAGTAATAAGTCCTGGATTGGTATAGGGGCTCGTGGAGAAAAGAGACCCATTATAAACAAGTTTATTCCATTTTTTTCTGTGAAGCTTTATACTCCAGTGTTTTGTGTGTGTCTGGTCTGTTTTGAAGCCTGTATTTACTAGACATTGACAACATTAAAGGGACAGGTGCACCATTTTATTTGAACAATCATACTTCTGTCTTATAAATGGGGATTTTTAACTAGGTCAATCCGTAATAATGTTCATGGCTCACCATCGAAATTTGAGCCTTCAATTCCATGTGTGTTCAGAATAATCTGTGTTTGAATGTTAAAATGACAACTCGTCAATTTAAGATACACTGTGATATATAGAAAAGACGTATATTGAAATAGTGAGTACAATTGCTAGTCTGAAGTATTTTTGAAGAAATTATGCATAGACTATAGACATATATTCAAGACTAAAATCAACCCCCCAAAATGGCCTACCTGTCCCTTTAAGTATATATATTTATTTATGGAATGTTTGTGTTTGATATTGTATATTTGATAAAGTTATACACCTCTTTATACAGTATTAACTTTCATTGTATTAGTGAGCAAGGTTATAACCTACTTGTATGTATCTGATTAGGTAAATGAAGACGGGCAATGTTATGTTGACAGTTACCTTGTCAAGGAAATTTTGCTAGGAAAGCAGCATTAACCCACTGAGATTTCTTCAATTTCCAACTTTCGATTGATCTTTAACACGATTGATTGATCTTTTACAGTCTGTAGTACACAGAGCCTCTGTTTATCCTGACTGACCGATTAGATGCTTTTTCCATGTCAGCCCCTCTTAATATGAAGGTATTATCTTGACCTGAGATGGGATTAAACCCTGGATCTTCAAGTTAGCAAAAAAATCTAAATATACCCAGAGAGAGAAAGATTTAGCTATAAAAACAGTATTTTAATATTGACAAGTTTATTAACAATTAATATATTTATACACAATTATTTTTTATAATACTTATATCTTATTTTCTCAATCTCAGAAATCTCTATAGAAAAGTTTCTGATTGAAGTTTAAAGAGATTGTAAACAGGTTTTCTAAATTCTTATGTGTATCTTGGACACTGATAGCATCATTTTACCATTCCAATTTCATTCCAAAGTCTGTGGTTCCTGCAATTCCACTAAAACTAATTGATTTACAATGTCACTAATCACAAAATATCACATAAGGCCCTTTGCAATTAGTGACATCATTAAACACTTAGTTTTAGTGGTATTGCAGACACTGAAACTTGGAATGATGTAAATTGATGCTATCAGTGTCCCCGATACATATAAAAGTTTAGTAAACAAATCTCTGAAACAAATCTGTAGCCATGTATCTGATACATTCTATGTTCAGTTTCTTTTGTGTTTGGATATTGATTTGGCTGTACCTGTATTAACTGGAAATGACTAACAAACCAGCTAAAATGTCCTTTCTATCAAGGATCTATCAAACATCAAGGCCCGTCAAAAAGACCTGTCAAAATTCAAAACTTGGCAAAACTTAAAACCACTTACAATAATATCAGCAATACTTTTTACAAATAGACATTCTTTTATTACATGACCTTTCTATTCAAGAATTGATTCTTTTCTTGTGATTTTCTAAACTTTTACCAGTATCAGGGTGAATGAATTTTAATTATACAAATCAAATAATAAAATGGCTAAATTTCCTTACAAGTCCTTTCAGTGCATTGAGTATTGTTAGATTTTTAAAATTGAAACAGAAGACTACTGTGCAGCTAGTTCACAACATTAGGTGACAGTGGTGAAATACCATCCTGGAATACCATTCTGAAATACCATTCTGAAATACCATCCATCCTGCAATACCATCCATTCTGAAATACCATCCTGACATATCCTTCTCCAAACTATTCTGGAAAACCATCCCGAAATACCATTCTGGAATACCATCCTGAAATACCATTCTGAAATACCATCCATCCGTAAATACCATCCTTAAATACCATCCTGAAATACCATTCTGTAATACCATCCATCCGTGAATACCATCCGTGAATACCATCCTGAAATATCATCCTGGAATACCATTCTGGAATACCATCTGTAAATACCATCCTTAAATACCATCCTGAAATACCATTCTGGAAAACCATTCTGATATACCATCCTGGAATACCATTCGTGAATACCATCCTGAAATACCATCCTGGAATACCATCCTGAAATACCATCCTGGAATACCATCCCTTCCACAGTATTCAAATCTACTTGCAACTTTCATTTTGGTCATCAAAACAACTTTTAATATTTCCTAAATTCACCAATCCTGGACTTTTTTAGAGAGTTTAGCCAGGCTAATACTCTTCCTTAACTTCTCCAGTCCACAAATTATTCTAATTTCACAAAATAAATAATGCACAAATCACAGACTCAATTATCAAAGTCAGAATTGGTTTGTCGCATTCGTATCTGTACTCAAGAACTTAAAAGTATGAAAGCACTCCTCAATAACTTTCTCAAACAAACACACTTGATAAATTTTCAACAATTACTGGATTCCAAAAACATCATTGGAGTCATGGTGCTTCCAACTCAACATTAACCAATATTTCAAAAAGAAAAATCTAAACTTTGGAAAATTTCCACCATTCATTTTAAACCAACTCAATGCTGAATAATTTTAAAAAAGGTTTCATCTAGTTTTATTAAATTTCCACCATTCATTGAGTTTCAAAAACATCATCAGTATCAGTTTGTCGTATCCGATATTCGGCAAGTACGTAAAACATGATAGCAACTACTAATAATGTCATTAGAAAATAAAGTTTGGCTGACACACAGAAAAACGTTCCACTTCCAAACGCTAGAGCTAATCCTAGACTCTGTAACATTCGATAATTAGCGAAGGCTGTTTCCGGATCATCCAGACATGTGATACAGATCAATGCTGAAATAGGTAATAAAATAAGCTCTAGATGTTATATAGTAACAAATATTATATACTCATTAAGTAGATATATTATGTAGCTATTGATAATGTTATGTTACTGAGTAGAAATAGTTTGTGAGGGGGTGTAATAATAGCACCAGGCCTAGGCTAGACTAGTATTGCTAAGACTGTATCCAAATTGTCAGGACAGACACATGACATAAATTGTACCTCAAGACAAGACTAACAAGAATAGCTCAGTACTGACAGGTTTGAGCCCTACCAAGAACATCACTGTTTATTACAAGGAAAAGATAACTCTTACTTACTATTACACTGTGTCTGCCAGACAGCATCGCAGACACCCCAGGCAGCAGACAGTAGAAAGAATATCATTGGTTGAGAGTTTGGAATCCAGATTAGAAAACCAATCATTAAAGCTATATGCATGACACTACCGAACCCTAGAACCACTTCCCGTGGGATATATCGGGCACACAGCGCCACCATTATAGAACTGAGAACATTAGCTACTCCTAGTATAATCATAGAATATCCTATATACTCTACTCCCAGCGCACACGTCACAAAATACTGAAATATAGGACACAAATACTGAAATAAAGGAGACATATTTATATTTCTATCTTGAGATGTCTAAATATCTGAAGAAATTTACAGGGAGATTATTAATTTCTGATACGGTTGTCCAATCTGTAGTTTACCAGATACACAATGAAAGAGATTGAATATTCATTGGGTACCAAATTATCAAAAAAAGTGTAGGAAAGATATGAATGTGCATATGCTTATATAGATATGCAGATAACTCTTGTGCTAAATACACACATTATGGACATAATACTATCTAGATTATTATCTAATATTAAACTTACATGATTAAAGTCTGAAAATATAAAACCTTGTTGAACACCATTAAATATTAACAGTGGTATTAACATACGAAATGTTTTATGATTTATCATCTGATTGAAATGATGTACCACTAACTGAAATAGAGAGAGATATGCAAATTAGTTCTACCATCTGATTTAAATATATATATTAATATGTAAATTAGCTATACCAGGGTGACAGCAGTAGTTTGCTTTCTTAAGCAACATCTTTTTTATGCATTCACTAGAATAAGGAACTAAGCTTTTATGTAATTCTTCAAGAAATGATGCATTTCAGCCCTTGAATTGAGTTATGGTGAAACTTAGTATGCAAATATATAATCCACTGGTGAAATCTTCTTGCCCTTCAAATTCACACACATGTAACAAATGGGATTCAGATTTAAAAATCGAAAAATAATACAGACATTCAAAATTCAGTCTAATTTAAATTGGACCAAAGTTTCCTTTAGTATTTTATAAGTTTTTACATTTAATATAGCCACTTCAGTAAGGGTCTAAAGACTGGTCTCTTGAACATTCGTCAAAATAACCTTTTGACCTAATTCTAATTTTAATGAGACTGATCAAAATCGGCTGCAAAAGCTAATATGTAGATGACTACAGGTATACAGGTTTAACCCTCCAGGTTCAATAGTAGCAGCCTATTCCTTTGAAAAAACAAGTACTAACAATCTGAAGGAATTTGATTGGTTAAAGTAGATGTCATCAGATTAGGTCAACAGATTATTTTGGCAAGGGCCAGTCTTTAGACCCTAACTGAAGTGGATATATTAAAAATAAAATCTAATAAATTACTGGACAAAAGTTTGAACACTTTTCCATCATAAAAACCAAGTACTAACAATCTGAACAGCTCAAACCAAACCAAAAATCCAACTAACATATTGGTCATCATTTTATTTAATTTTTATTACAAATGACATGAAAGTACATGAATCATGTTCTTTTTACTCTAGTCAATGTGTGAGAGACAAGAATGTTATAAAATTGAAGCTAATGGATTTTTCTCTCTTGGGAATTGTATCTAAACCAAAAACAATTCTGTACTTGACAAATCCCTTCGATAGATGGTAATAAATTCAGGCTGCTTGGAGATATATGTTCAATGAGGTTTATCGAAATGTTAAGGAGATTTTTGTCAGAAACATCGTACCATTTTAAAGGCCATGGTTCATCGAGGTTGGGAGATTGATTTGGGTCTTGAATATATGTAAATAGTCTTTAGAAATATTAGAAATGTACAAGAATTTGAAATATAGTTTGATTGAGGAGATTTATTTGATTCTTGAATATATGTTAATAGTCTTTATAAATACTAGTACTGTATGAAACATAATTCCTTCTAATATAATTCAAACTAGAAATTCCACCATCTATTTCTATAATATCTTCTATCACAAGAAAAGATGAGTCATCTTTTTAACTTTTCAAACACATATAATTCTGGACAAATATAGATTTGAAAGCTCAAGTTTTGATGGTGAGCTGTAAACACTATTACTGATTGGCTTAATAAATATTCCTGTTACTGAAACATAAGTATGATTGGTCGAATGGATGGTGAACCTGTCCTGTTTAGTGTTCTGATTGGTTCATACAGCAGTAACATTATCTAAGCAGATTTAATTACAGTACCAATTTCTGGATCATTTTATAATATTAATTACTAGGTGATCATGTCTTCTTTTGATTTTGATATTTAAACTTTTATTCCAAATACTACTGTGTAATATTTTCAAATCTAGGAAGTCCTGATTTATATCTAATTGTGTCTTGAACAACCAGTCATAAATAAAAGGTAAATAGATTATAATTGACCACTGGTTGATCCTGTCTCCATTACGATTGTTTATTGGTCAGTAAATATCTGTAACTATCTTCGTTGGCTGTTAAGTGTAATCACTATTGAACCAATATAGTCACTTATATCAAGTATTAAGGCTTTCGAATAGATTTACAGACTTCGACAATATAATGAAATAAAAACTAGAAAGTACATGCTAAAAGTGTTCTGTTATTTAAAAGGACAGTGCACCATTTTTTTGACCAATCATAGTTTACTCTCAGAAACTGGAATTGTTTTTAGCTAATCCAATCTGTAATAGTTTTAACAGCTCATCATTGAAATTTCAGCCTCCAAATCCATGTGTGTCCAGAATTATCTGGGTTTAAAAGCTAAAAAGACAACTTGTCTTTTCTTGAGACACTGCCATATAAAGAAAATACATTGATAGAAATAGTAAAAGGAAATTCCTAGCCTAGTTTGAAATATTTTTGAAGGAATTATATGATTTTTGTACATTTCTAGTACTTCTGAAGACTATTTACATATTTTCAAGACTCAAATCAGACCTCCGAAATTGGCAGAGCTGTCTGTTTAATGTGATCTCTACCCCTAAATGTTCCTTAAGAATGACAAACCAATTTAGTAATCAAGTGAAAGAACTAATACTGTACACCTGTACACAATGTTTCAACAATTTACATCATCATCATCATCAAGTGAAATGATTTGGTGTTGTTGTGTACAATAAAACTAAGGAGTAGTATATATAATAATATAGCGTTCTGTTATTTATGTAAGCTCTACCCTTAAAATATTCATTAATTCTATTTTTAATTGTGTTGGTTTCAGACTCCCTGAAGAAGTGTGTTTTAAGATACACGAAATGTTGGAGGTATAAATGGTTTATTTTGACAGAAATTTTATTATTTAAAGACGCTACCCTTAAATGTGGTTTAAAGATTACAGACGAATTAAGTAACGAACCTGTCAAGTGCAATGACCTTGGAACTGATTTACAGGCTGATGTCAAGTGTAACGAGGACCAGACCAATTATACCACTGATTGATGTCCTGTATGAGTAGACATAGAGAGTGATGTCAACAGTGATGTCAGATAGCTTACAGATTGTAAACTCGATTTTATTTCATATCAAACTAGGATTTATTGTACAACAGACATGGCATTGATACATCAATGAATGAATGAAATAGAGTTTTATATCCTACTGTTCAGTTTCTTATTGTGTTAATGAATGAATGAAATAGAGTTTTATATCCTACTGTTCTGTTTCTTATTGTGTTAATGAATGAATGAAATAGAGTTTTATATCTTACTGTTCTGTTTCTTATTGTGTTAATGAATGAATGAAATAGAGTTTTATATCCTACTGTTCTGTTTCTTATTATGTTAATGAATGAATGAAATAGAGTTTTATATCTTACTGTTCTGTTTCTTATTGTGTTAATGAATGAATGAAAGAGAGTTTGATATCGTGCTGTTCTGTTTCTTATTGTGTTAATGAATGAATGAATGAATGAATGAAATAGAGTTTTATATCCTACTGTTCTGTTTCTTATTGTGTTAATGAATGAATGAAATAGAGTTTTATATCCTACTGTTCTGTTTCTTATTGTGTTAATGAATGAATGAAATAGAGTTTTATATCCTACTGTTCAGTTTCTTATTGTGTTAATGAATGAATGAAATAGAGTTTTATATCCTACTGTTCTGTTTCTTATTGTGTTAATGAATGAATGAAATAGAGTTTTATATCCTACTGTTCTGTTTCTTATTGTGCTAATGAATGAATGAAATAGAGTTTTATATCCTACTGTTCTGTTTCTTATTGTGTTAATGAATGAATGAAATAGAGTTTTATATCTTACTGTTCTGTTTCTTATTGTGTTAATGAATGAATGAAATAGAGTTTTATATCTTACTGTTCTGTTTCTTATTGTGCTAATGAATGAATGAAATAGAGTTTTATATCCTACTGTTCTGTTTTTATTTGGACTAATGAAAGAATTATAGCTCAGTACTATTTTCACAATATTTTAACTAACAAAATCCAGTGTAGTTTTACATCAATTAAACTTCTGTTGATTTTAGTGTTTCAGTAATCTGATTTGTCAATCAATAAAATCAATTTTTAAACCATCTTTATCAACCAATCAAATTTCTTCAAGATAAAATCCAGATTTAAAAAATACAGCAAAATGATTCATTAACCTAGCTAGCTTTAAACTTGCTTTGGTCATTGACCAAACAAACATCAAAGATATGTCAATTAACTGATAAAAGCAAGATAACAGTCAAAAGCAAGTTAGAGGGAAAATAATTTCTTAGTTTGAGGTCAGATGGGAGCAAAAATAACCAAATTATACCATTTATAACTAGCAAATAACCATTCTGAATCATAGGCAATTAGATAATTGAAATAACCAAATTTTTGATAACTAGCAAGTAGCTATTGTGAATCAAACTAAATTAGAAAATTAAATCAAGTTCATTAACAATAAACTAGTTTGTCAATATAATTACAGTACCAGAGACTAATAGTAACTAGGTTTGATGATTCTACAATATAACTATCAGTTTATTACTAGTAGTTAGTGCTCAAACAAACTGGGGGCACACAAACAGTATTTTTTCAGCTGATTTTGTAGCCGACTAGTCTTGTCAAGAGTTTCAACATGGAAATAGAGAATCTGTCGGTCGTTTTCTATTATGTCATTAAATCATGTGATTATCAAAATAGACAAGAATCATTCACATGCCCCAAGCATTATTATTAAAGGTCCAATGGAGTCTTGTCTTGATGGTTTACAAAGTTAATTATGAATCAATATGATTCTGGTCAATTTCCTTATTCTACAAGTTATTTAGAATATATTATAAACAGGAGAGTATATGATTCTGTCAAGATTCTGAAAGTGGCAGCATTCACTGGTTTTATATTTCTTATTTTGAAAATAATTATGGTATAGAAATATTAAAACAGAACCTACAAAAAGAGGCTATGAAAATAATGTATATTATTATGGTAATTATGGTATATATGATTTTACTCTTCTAATTGAATCAAATAGAGGAAACTTTCGGAAGCTACTCTCTAGAGACAATTATTTAAGATAACAGATTAAAACAGAAGGCCCTATCAGTCAATGATATTGATATTTACTGATACATTTAAAGATACAGAATAATATTAGTTGATATTGTGTTTATAGCGGAATATTGGGGCTGTCCAAATTATCGATTTTATTCAACATTCTAATAATCCACACGATATTTAATAAGATTAGTTTTTGTAAGCACTAGCACGGCAAGTTAGAAGCTGTCGCTTTACAAAGATATAGTGCAAGACATAGTGCAAGACACGAGTGCAAGACACGAGTGCAAGACAAAGTGCAATACAAAGTGCAATACATAGTGCTAGACATGAGCGCAAGACATAGTGAAAGACAGAGTGCTGGACAGAGTGCAAGACATAGTGTGAGACAGAGTGCAAGACATAGTGTACCACAGAGTGCAAGACATAGTGTACCACAGAGTGTACCACAGAGTACAAGACAGAGTGCAAGACATAGTGTACCACAGAGTACAAGACAGAGTGCAAGACATAGTGTACCACAGAGTACAAGACAGAGTGCAAGACATAGTGTACCACAGAGTACAAAACAGAGTGCAAGACATAGTGTACCACACAGTACAAGACAGAGTGCAAGACATAGTGTACCACACAGTACAAGACAGAGTGCAAGACATAGTGTACCACACAGTACAAGACAGAGTGCAAGACAGAGTGCAAGAGAGTACAGAAGAATAGTAAAACACAGTATTTTATGGAGTAAGCTATAGGTATTTGATCTAGTTAAGAAATCAATGTTTAAGGTGTTGTACAAGTAAGTTAATAATGTATAAGAAAGAAAGTAATAAGTTTGGTGTTAAAACTAATCATTTCTCTTTCCTTGTAATTATATAAAAGCAATCTACCCTGGGTACAGGTGTGAATTTAATATACCCTATACTAACACCCAGGGTTCATACACTGCTAGTTTCAAGATGAACAATCAAATATTCATCATATTTGTAAATGAAATGTAAGTCATTCTTCTGCAGCCTAATATGAAATAACAGATGGGATTAAGATTAAAATACAAAAGTTAGAGCAATCCTGCCATAAAGGGTCTGAGTAGTTTTCTCGAAGAAAAATCCAAACATATCTTAGCGGCAAAAAATTATTAAATCGTCTTTTTGCTCTGAATAAAGATTTTAGTCATATCCGAAGCACTCTTATAAAGGAATAAGGTTTGTTTGCTCTAGCATTTCTTTTTACAGTCATAACCTTCACAGCACTATTATGTATTTTATATCCATTTCTCCAGCTTCCCCAGGATGGCTTTCTCTGATATTCTGTTCAAATTAGAAATATTTGCTATGAATTACAATTTTAATAAAATCTTTAGTTCGTTGATACCCATCTCCCTATTCCCAACTAACGGAATATTTGTTTTCTCTTCGTGTAACAAAGAGAGAAGTAGGGGTGTCTAGGATTAGATTTTGTCATTGATCCCATGTGGTTGGAAAGTTGGTTTACTCTTCATTTATAATTTTAGTCAAATCTGCAGTATTTGATGTATTTAATGTCTATTTCCTCAACTAACGAAATAAAGTTTGTTTGCAGTAGGATTCTATTCATAGACTAGTCATGTCTGATAATAAGATCAACTCAGTACGATGTTTTATCACAGAGCTCTGTATCAATAATTTGTCAGTAACACGTTCGACAAATTGGCTTAATGGCGACTTGTCTCGTTATCTGTATACAACCAATCATACGATACGTTACACCATTCTGACCTCCACGCTCAATCAGTCCATACATTAACTGTGATTGGTCAATTTGAAGATTTAATTAAGCAACTAATGGTCATGACTAGAACTATTGATTGTGTAGTGATATAAATCTTATAAACCACTAGTAGTCTCAAACTTAATGGTTGTCTTAATATTTCTCTTTGATAATTTTACTACCAGCTTATTCCTGTCTTTCTCAATTTTATCCACATTTCAATCAATTTTTATTGCTTTAGAATCCTTGTTTTACACAAACGTTCCCTTTAATCTATTTATATTTCCTAAAAATCTGGTCTTACATCTTCCTCAGGGATGGAACATCTGCATAATCAGGACCAGACATAAAATGTCACTTTTTATGGGAGTTTGACTCAAAATTCTTTGAAAATTTTCACCATGTTGAAAGCTAAATTTCACATGATAATACACAAAGCTGGACCATTAATGAGTCCAACAAGATATTAACCAATATTCTACAATGTTCCTATGTCTCACACAGTACTATAAAACAGTCGAGGATCAAGTCTACCCCCTGACTATATTTTGGTATCCTGTTGGGCCATAAACATGCGGATATCCCATCTGTATATTATATCTGAAGAAAGTTTAGGGTCAGGTTTGTCAGGCTTATTCATTTCTAGGCCTTGTCTCTGTTAATTGTTGGCTCACTGCAGTCTTTACATTGGTTAAGAATTAAACGTTGGTCTCACTAGCCTTATTGGTGTGTACACGCAGTTGATCATGTGACAAACTGAATAAATGACGAAGTCTATTGTGTTTACACACCAATAATTCTAGTGAGACCAACGTTTAATTGTTATATTTATATTCAGATACTTTTATTAACATAATTTTCACTTTTTTATATGATCGATTCCTTGAATCTGCCACCAATCTTAGATTACGTCATTGTTGTGTTTTGACGACATCATAGTATCACATGACAAACAACAGTATATGAAAAAATAAATGCCAGTTTGCGTAACTAGTTCATTGAAGGAAGTGATAGTAGAAATGTAAATATATACGAATAACTTGAAGTTAATAACTTACCTGAAATCCTGTTTTATCAGGGTCTGATCTGGCCCCTATTTTATCAAGTAATAATAATATTAAACCAAATCCTATAAACCCTAGAACAATATAGGCACACATCAACTTCCATAATACTTGAGAGATATCATTGGGACCTGAAATAACAGTGATAATATATTACATTATAAACAGGTTATCTGGATAAGATTCGAGCAGTAATATTACTATGGGGATCAGGGATGGTTAAAGATTGGGGCATGCACTGCACCCCACAAGAAAAGAGAGGCCTACTTTGATGCCCTGACTTTTATTTTTAAATGCTGTGAGCCCCCTTGAACATCCCCCCACCCCTACCCCTATTAGCAAGACCATTGAAGTGGACCTGTTATCTAGAAATTGGAGCAGTGGTATTACTATGGGGATCAGAGATGGTTGAAGGGCGGGGCATGCACTGCAACCCCAGAGAAAAGAGAGGCCTACTTTGATGCCTTGTATTTCTTAATATTGCGTTCTTAAATGCTCAAATGCCCCTTGATAATTGCCTCCTCATCTGATGTTAAACTAGGAGATGAATTCAGCATGAGAACAGACCTAGTGAAGGCCATAGAAAATGGATAAATTAAACTATTATTGAGTTGACGAATGTATTTTTCTGTTTATATCGAATGTAAACAGACAGCTTGCCACTCAAGGGTATTAATGCACATGCGCAGCTTTTATCCTGAAAAGATCTATTGTGGATTGCAAGAGCCACAGACATCTAACTGAAAATTGGAATGGTGCAAATCGATGCTTTAATTGTCCAAATTCATACACAAAAAAATGAGAAATTCTATTAAGTTAAGATGTAGTCCATCCAGAGTTTAAATTTGACACTCTGAAAGTTAAGATGTAGTCCATCCAGAGTTTAAATTTGACACTCTGAAAGTTAAGATGTAGTCCTCCAGAGTTTAAATTTGACACTCTGAAAGTTAAGATGTAGTCCATCCAGAGTTTAAATTTGACACTCTGAAAGTTAAGATGTAGTCCATCCAGAGTTTAAATTTGACACTCTGAAAGTTAAGATGTAGTCCATCCATCCAGAGTTTAAATTTGACACTCTGAAAGTTAAGATGTAGTCCATCCAGAGATTAAATTTGACACTCTGAAAGTTAAGATGTAGTCCATCCAGAGTTTAAATTTGACACTCTGAAAGTTAAGATGTAGTCCATCCATCCAGAGTTTAAATTTGACACTCTGAAAGTTAAGATGTAGTCCATCCATCCAGAGTTTAAATTTGACACTCTGAAAGTTAAGATGTAGTCCATCCATCCAGAGTTTAAATTTGACACTCTGAAAGTTGAGAGATGACTAGACCTCTCACAGTTATTATTGTTCATGATGAATATTTTATAGACTAGAGTCAAGTTGAAATTCAATCACTAAGAAATGTGCTAAAACTGTTTTAACACTCGAATATTCTGAAGTTGGCTTTTAAATCCCTCGAGGTAACTTCAATCACCAGTGGGGTGGGGGAAGGAGGGCACTCTGGTCTCCCATTAATAGTTTTATAAAGTCGTAGTGTGATATAATTTTTATAAATCAAGTGATAAGACATTTTTCTGGACTGTGCTAATAGTTTTGGACCAGGGTCATTGAAATCATTCTGGAGACATTTTGTGCACAAATGAGAAAAAGTTTGGAAAAGGGAGCTATAAATGAATTACAAAGATTCATGGAGTTGGGATTATGCTCATTTACCTACCTGCATTTTAAAAAGAAAAACATTTCAAAGTGTTTTTAGTTTTCTACTGATTGAGTTATGTCATATTAGATCAAAAGGTAACACAAAAACTAACTGGGTCAGTGTTTTTTGAGAATATTGGTCCTGTTATTTGTTTAGTTATCTATAAGTTAGAAATCCCAGACTTTATAATATAATTAGTTTCCTATATTCAATTTAAATTTCTACAAACTGATCATATTTACATTCTAAATTTAAAATACAGTTACATTCAATAGTTATTCTGACATTGAAAGTCCTACTTCGGGACATTTAGGGGCATCTTTCTATGGGGGTGGGCAGAATTTGGGAACTGGCTTTGTTCCTTGCAACTGAGAAATGAAGTGAATGGAGTTTAACGTCCTAATATTCTGCATCTTATTTGGCTGATAGATGATCCTAAAATATTTGTTGGAAACTCGGGAACGACCCTCCCAATTTGCAAACTGACTATGTCCCATGTTTAAGGGAATTCCTCCATTTTGCATGTCCAGAAAACATTGGAACAATATAAACAACAAACATGCTTAAAACTGATAGTATGAAAAATAGGATTGTCATTCAAAATATAAAAAAAAATACAAAAACAAACATTCTTGATATGTGGACTCTCTGAAATAAAAATCCATACAAGCAAAATTGAGAATAAAGGTTGTATAGTAGTGGACTCCTCTAAAGAGAAGTACGTACCATCAGGTGTTTCCAAAAGAGTAAGAAAGCATCAGAGAACAACAGAATCACATAAATCGTTTCCCTGTCATAAAATTCGGTACAAACAAGACAATTCCGTTAATCAAAATCTCGCCGAAAGACTGGCAAAATCAAGAGTAAAAGTTGTATAGTAGTGGACTCCTCCAAAGAGAAGTTCCATCAGGTGTTTCAAAAAGAGTCATGCCAAATACATGATTATGTGAATTGTTTAAAAGAGATTCAGAGTTCACAAACTAAAAGACAAAAAATATCACAAGCTATATGACTCTGAGTTCATAATACCAGTTAAAGAATGGCATCAGGTGAAGAATGGCATCAGGTGAAAGTAGGACTGGGTATCGATTAACAAATTGAGATCGATTTTCAACAACATGCTACTGATCAATAATCTTTTGATTAAGAAACATTGAAAATATAAAATAAAAAACATGCCAAAATTTTGAAATCTAAAATTTTTGTTTGTGTCATAGAAGTATATTCTTGCTTTGATCAGTTACTATAGTTTATTGTGGATATGTTATCTGTTGAAGGCAATTTATGTCGAAGAGATTACTACTTGTTAGCAGGTACAGTGGAGAAAATGTAACTTTAGCATATAATCGATTATGAAATTTAATAATCGATAATCGAAATTATAATTTTCTAGGGGCTATAAATAATTGATTATTTGGATAATTTTACCGAAGTCTAGGTGAAAGATAAAGATAAAGTAAAACTTACCGTGTTACTATAGAAACATAAAGAAAGTTAAAATCCAGACAATAGATCATGCTATTTACAATATTCTCTTCACTTCCTACATATTGAAATAAAAATACAATTACATACAAATCAATTTCTTGCAGACTGGATGCTTTATTTTGCGTTTTTCTGAATGTTCTAACACTAGCCGTCCACAAGTTGAAAAGATTCTTCCTTCCTTTCCTGTAAAAGGGGAGAGCGTCTGCGTCGTTTTATAATTGTGCTCAATCCATAAGTTTTAGTCATTACAATAAAATATGGTTAAAAACTAAACTTAAGATTCTTCTTTAAGTCATGTTCTCAATAGCATTTTAAGTTGTATTATAAATGACCCAGAACAGAAGATTCATAATAATCTGGTCAGATTATGGATGGCTAGCGGAGTCACTCAAAGAAAAAACATAACTCAAAACATCCAGATTTCAAAGTCAAAGTTTGACCACAGGTTGATTACAAATATTACCGTACTAAAATAAAATAAATTCTGTACACATGCATACATTTTTTACAACAACAGACAGAAGAAATTTTGGTGAAATTTAGGTACCGAGATCTTACTGAAGCACTTTGATGTATGTACTGAAATTCAATCCTTTTGACATAAAGGGCAAAGTGCAGTCCCGTAATAATACCTTTACTTAAACGGACAGGTTTGCCATTTTGGGGATTGATTTGAGTCTTGAATATATATAAATTGTCTACAGTACTTAAACTGCACGAAAATTGCATAATTTCTTTATAAGATAATTCAGGAAACTCATGGATTTGACAGTGAGCTGTAAACACTATTACTGATTAGCTTAGCTAAAAATTCACGTTTATAAGACTAAGGTATGATTGGTCAAACGAATGGCGAATCTGTAAAAACTAGAAAAACAGTTATCAATGAATTGATCAAAAATGAAAATATAAAGTTTCATACTGACCTAGATCTTCATCATAGTCAGCAGACGTGAACAGTAAAGGTTGTCCAGTCCTTTGATCACATGGATTTAAAGCACCACATTGTCCAGCTGATATCGGTGGGGGTTCCTCCATCGCACCCTCCATCTCGTATCCCATCCCGGGATCTGTATAATTCAAATAATCAAACGAAGTCTCGGGTACTGCTGGAGGTATAAACTCTGATCTATGACTCAATAAAACAGAGGAAATTAAATTCCCCCAGATGTGCGTTGTTTGGAAACAGGCAAGAAAAATTCCATGAAATCGAAACATCTCGTTTTCTAGTTGGTCTTTGGTAATACGAGCTGAATCGAATGCTAATTTAAGAATATAAGAAATTTCGGCGCTCCATAAAATTCCTTGTCCAAACCCAGCGAACAATGCTGTGGGTATGAGAGTGTAAAAACGTGGATAAAAATTAGCGCCGAACCATATTAGAAAGCACAACATACCAATCGATAACGCCCACTTGGCCGTGAAAATATTAATCACAATGGGAGCGAATATACACGTACAAAACATGGATAAATATACACAAGTCATGGTGGTTATTCCTAAATAACTTGATGTATTAATACTAGACTGTAAGTTCTGAATTCCACGAAATGCAGAGAAAATTAGAATAAAACCAGTGCACAGTATGATGAGGTTTTTTTTAAATGTAAAAACGATCACAGATGGTAAACTACTCCCCTGTTCGCTTGAACACGGTGTTGCCTCATCACTACCCCCCTCCCCAATATTCCCTACGTGAGAAAAATGTACATTATTATGCATCAACTTATATTCATCTATTCGTTCTAATGTTGGCTTCATTTTTTCATTTTTCTTTTCCTCATTGATATAGAAGCTTAAACTTTTCCGATTGATGTCATTATCGTCATGGTTACTGGTTGGGATATCACCAAGGTTACTGTCATGATTGCCGCCATATTTGTCATGGTTGTCTTGGATATCTTGAAGTTCTATTTCGTGAGTTTGTCTGGTAGCCTTGATGTAGCTGTCTTTACGATTTCGCTTCACGATGTCATCTATAAAATCATCTGTTTGTTCCGAGTCGGAGTTGACGTTTCGTGTGGCGTAACGATAGCTCTCGCTGCGCTGTCGGTTACACTGTGTTGCTAGGGTATAACTAGGTCGTCGTGGTCTGTATAAACCAAACCCCAGACTAACTCCTCCGTAATCCCACGGAGAAAGAGACATTTTGATTGGTTAACAGATCTCACTTGAAAATTCAAATTCAAACTTCAAATGTAATTTTAATCATTATCATACCTGAAAATATATCAAAAATATTAATTAATACAATCATTATATTATTTGACTTGAAAGTAAGAAAAGAAACTGGAAAAAACTCTCAAAGCTGCTAAAAACTTAAACTTTGGGTTCCCATGTATTTAAACATTGGAAATAAACATAATTTTAAAACAATTGTTTAAAGCAAATCTTGGGAATAAGTCATTAATGATTTAATCATTAATTTCTTTTGTCTATAAAAATCATCCGTGTTTTATTGACCAAGTCTAGCTTTAATCAATTATAGTCTGAAAATGGTAGGAGCTACAATTTCACAAACTAGCCATATTACCAACAATACACTTAACAATATATAAACAACTGGAATCTACACATTAAGCTGCTGTTTGCTTTCCATTACTGATTATAGTCTGAATATAGTAGGACCTAAAGTAGTTACAACTAGTCTAACACTAGAGATTAGCTACAATACATTAAATCTAGAAATCATTGTGCATGAAAAATCCTTAAAGATGGGTTCCCTTATTTTCATTTATGAGAATGAAAATGCTAATACTTATATGAATAGAGAGTAGAGGTGTTCTAGTGTTCTAATGACTTGGAATAATACCAGTTTGTCTCACATGTCCATAATTAATTCATTATTAGCCAAGAAGAGAATTACCAGCAGAATTCCAATGAGTGATCCATCAAAAAAGGTCAAAATGTATTTTTTTGATTATCCAAACTCTACATATTTGGACTTTATGATTGGTTAAAACTCTTAATTATATGCAATAAGAATACAAAGTCTTTTCATTCATGTAGATTGGCCATGATAAGTTAAATACACTGTACATTATATTCATAATACATCATAAAATTCCAATTGGTTAGGTCCACTGGCACCACAAAATTATCCCAAAATCTTGATGATTTGAAAAGTTAGGGCTGCAACGATTCACCGGTGAATCAACGAACAGCGATTCATTCTTTCTTATCGATATATCCGCATGATTAATTCTTAGCCCCCTTTAATAACAAATAACACAGAATCCTTGTGTGTATGAGAAATTGTGTCATGTTTTCATTTTCCAAATATGATTTTCACATCAAAATTTGTAAAAATTCATTTCTGACTTTGAAATTTGAGATTTTTTTTCACAATTCCTTATTTTTAAATGTTCTCAAGTGCTTAATAGTGACAAACTTGTTAGTAATTTTACAAATTTCTACTATTCTATCTCTTGCCTTCTCTAATAAATGAATCATGATAATTATAGCAATAAATCGTATCATTGGATTAGTATTATATAGTGTATTGAATCGCAACTTCATTGTCCGTTGCAGCCGTAGAATTAGTTTTTTGAGTTCTTGGTTTTTTTCTGCCTAGCAATACAACTAACATCTTTCACTTAGTAGCCTCATCTCCCTCTAGATTAACCAATAAACTACACTTTCAAAATATCGAAAATTATGATTATTCATTGTTTTAAAGCCAGAAACAGGTCTATTCTCTTGTTGATTTGATCTTAATCTACCTGTTATAGACAATAGACAGTAGAAGTAGAAATTTCTACAAATTGGCCTTATCTCTCTATATTATATATTATTACATTAAATCTAGAAAATATTATTCACTATTGACTATTTTATATTTGAGTTGTTTTTCTCCTTGCTGGACCTAGTAGATACTTGACTTAAAACAGTGAGCAGTTAGTACAAACTAGCCTTATCTCTTTAAAGGGACAGTGGCTTTCTTTTTTTGTGACTAATCATACCTCAGCTCATCGCCGAAATTTGAGCCTTCAAATCTTATTTGTCTAGAAATATCAGAGTTTGAATGTTATGATGACGACTCGTCAATTTAAGATACTCTGTGATATATAGAAAAGACATTTAGAGAAATAGTGAGTAAAATTCCTAGTTTGAAGTATTTTTGAAGAAATTATGTGATTTTCATACATATCTAGTACTTCTGAAGCCTATTTAATATATTCAAGATTAAAATCAACCCCCCAAAATACCACATCTGTCCCTTTAAAAGAGCCAAAATACATTTAAAAATTATCATTCATTAAAAATTAACCAAAATCTGAATCATTTTAAAAAGCTAAAAATCAGTACTTAGAGATGTTTTTTGTTGGTCTAGTAGATACTAGATAGTAGAATAAACAATTTCTACTCACTAGCCTTATCTCTTTAAATTAGCCACGATACATTTAAGATAAAGATAAAAGAACGTCTTGATTCCTACCTTCAATATAACTGATTAAAACTAGTAGTATTGGTTTGAGAAATATAAATTAAACACAAGCCTAATATCCTACAGAGTTCTAATCCCAAATCTGTCTTACCCTTTATACACTGATAAACATAATCCAACATCCATAAAACACAATAAAATTTACATTTTCCCTGATAACACTGTCTGTATGAACACGATGTGATGGAGAGAGAGAACACGCTGGTAGGCTGGAAGATACTGACTAGAAGTATCAAATACGACTGAGGAGCATATCCTACAGGTATTGATTTTTCTTTTCTATTAGACAAGTCACACACTAACTTACAATCTTCATATGACTTTAATTGAAAAATAATACTAGTTTATAATATTTATACTATACTAAACAAAAACATAGAGAATGTAGTAGGAGAGGAGAGAGGGGGGGAGGGGGGGGAGGTCTATCAAGACAGGGCATAAGGCATGCATACTCCTACACAGACATGCTTGAAACAAAATACTAATGCAATTTATTAATTTCTGTTTATCTTCGGTTCATCCTTTGGGTGATTTTAACCAATTTCATCAAGTTTAGTGAAAATCAAGAATAGTGCCCTCGTGAGTGTTTACGAGCTATAAATTGAATGTGTCTTCAAGAACAAGGGCAATAACTCATGTCATACAATCTTTTTCATTTTCGATAGGGTTCATCTATTTTGTCCCAGATGATTATAAACTAATATACCGTATTTTCTTTTCCTCAAGAACCTTTTTTTTATTTCCAGCAATTTGTACAGAACAAACAGACTAAAGAAAGGTATCTAGAGATTAATGATTTTCTAACTGTTTTCTATAGATTATACAGGTCCAGTGTTATTTATCTGCAACAGTGAAACACAAAAGAATTATGTAATAGTTTCAGATAATATGACCAGTCTTGAAAATTACTTGAAAATTCACTCAAACTATTGTTATCACTTTTATAAAATACCCCATCAGATCTATTGAGTCACTGAGCTATTCTTTTATATATGTTATATTACAATAATAACATGCTTTCACTGTTAAAATAGTTCTCAATACATCAATTGTAGAGAGATATAGAAATACTACTGTTAAAATAGTACTCAATACATCAATTGTAGATAATATAGAAATACCACTGTTAAAATAGTGTTCAATATATCAATTGTAAAGTGATATAGAAATACCACTGTTAAAATAGTGCTCAATACATCAATTGTAGAGCGATATAGAAATACCACTGTTAAAATAGTGCTCAATATTTCAATTGTAGAGCGATATAGAAATACCACTGTTAAAATAGTGTTCAATATATCAATTGCAGAGTGATATAGAAATACCACTGTTAAAATAGTGCTCAATACATCAATTGTAGAGTAATATAGAAATACCACTGTTAAAATAGTGTTCAATACATCAATTGTAGATAATATAGAAATACCACTGTTAAAATAGTGCTCAATACATCAATTAAAGAGTAATATAGAAATACCACTGTTAAAATAGTGTTCAATATATCAATTGCAGAGTGATAGAGAAATACCACTGTTAAAATAGTGATCAATACATCAATTAAAGAGTAATATAGAAATACCACTGTTAAAATAGTGTTCAATATATCAATTGTAGAGTGATATAGAAATACCACTGTTAAAATAGTGATCAATACATCAATTGCAGAGTGATATAGAAATACCACTGTTAAAATAGTGCTCAATACATCAATTGTAGAGTAATATAGAAATACCACTGTTAAAATAGTGCTCAATACATCAATTGTAGATAATATAGAAATACCACTGTTAAAATAGTGCTCAATACATCAATTAAAGAGTAATATAGAAAAACCACTGTTAAAATAGTGTTCAATATATCAATTGCAGAGTGATAGAGAAATACCACTGTTAAAATAGTGCTCAATACATCAATTGTAGAGTAATAGAGAAATACCACTGTTAAAAAAGTGCTCAATACATCAATTAAAGAGTAATATAGAAATACCACTGTTAAAATAGTGCTCAATATATCAATTGCGGAGTGATAGAGAAATACCACTGTTAAAATAGTGATTAATACATCAATTGCAGAGTGATATAGAATACCACTGTTAAAATAGTGATCAATACATCAATTGTAGAGTAATATAGAAATACCACTGTTAAAATAG